TTGGTCTTGTTTTTGTAATCTTCTCCCTCTAAAACATTCTCTTTCCGCTGCCTGCACACAAAGTTATGTTTTTGGTAGCCATTACCTCTGCTCGCAGAATCTTGGAGTTGACTGTGCTTTCCTGCAAGGAACCTTGCCTGGTTCTTCAGGATAGAGTGTTGTTGAGGCTCCTATTCTTTCATGCCTAAGGCGTTTTCTTTGTTTCACCTGGATTGGGACAGTGTGTTACTATCTTTTGTTCTACTCCTAAATGTCCAAAAGGGATAGCTGTACACCTTTTGGTGGTTGTTTGGGCTGTTTGCATTTTATCTGAAGTCTACAACAATTTGATTTCCTATTTGTCCTGATCGAAGGACCTTGTAGTTGTCAGGCTGCTTTCAAATTCATCATTATTTCCGGGTTGATTCATCAGCTCATTTCTCAGGCATGTGAAATTAAAAGTGAGGTTCTGCCCTTCCTGGTATACAGTATGTAGACTCTTACCTTTTTATATAATACATTTTTTTTTTCTTTTGTGATCACCTAACCTGTTGTTTAGCTGTAGAAGGGGTTTGGAGATGTCAGATTGGAGACTGCAAGGGGAATGTGTCAGCAGGAGGCAGGCAGAAAAAAAAAAACAATATTTCCCAGTGAAGAACTGTGCCATTCAGCATCAAAATTCTGTTGTTCATTTTTGAAAAGGCTGCTACTTGTTCTTCTTTTTGTATTTTTATGAAGATCTACCAGGTTGACATATTTTGCCTCTGAACACCAGTTTTGGGTGAAGGGTCTTGCAGCTGTCTTTGAAGTGCCCGGTCATACCAGTGCGAATTGAAATCGCATCCAATGAATGTCAGTGCCTTAACATTTTCTATTTGCTGCAGCGCAATTTCTAAAGTAGTTCTTGCATTACTTTTTCTGCAGTTTTGTTGTGATCTCACATACAGTTGTGTTCAAAATAATAGCAGTGTGTTGAAAAAAGTGAATAAAGCTCAAAATCCTAATAGCTTTTATTTCCATACACACAAATGCATTGGGAATACTACACATTCTATTCCAAATCAAAACATGAAGAAAAATATATGAAATTTGTGGTGTTTCTCTAACAAAATTGAAGAAAAGTGAATATTAGACTGTTCAAAAAAATAGCAGTGTTTTGTCTTCTTCTTTACAAACTCAAACATTCATTATATAAACTGAAAAATGTTTGATTTTGCTTCTCTTTTGAATCACATAATTAATATTTAGTTGTATAACCACTGTTTCTGAGAACTGCTGTACATCTGTGTTGCATGGAGTCAACCAACGTCTGGCACCTGTGAACAGGTATTCCAGCCCAGGATGATTGGACTACATTCCACAGTTCTTCTCTATTTCTTGGTTTTGCCTCAGAAACTGCATTTTTGATGTCACCCCACAAGTTTTCTATTGGGTTAAGATCCGGGGATTGGGCTGGCCACTCCATAACATCAATCTTGTTGGTCTGGAACCAAGATGTTCCATGTTTACTGGTGTGTTTGGGGTCGTTGTCTTGTTGGAACACCCATTTCAAAGGCATTTCCTCTTCAGCATAAGGCAGCATGACCTCTTCAAGTATTCTGATGTATTCAAACCGATCCATGATCCCTGGTATGCGATAAATAGGCCCAACACCGTAGCATGAGAAACATCCCCATATCATGATGCTTGCGCAACCATGCTTCACTGTCTTCACAGTGTACTGTGGCTTGAATTCAGTGTTTGGGGGTCGTCTGACAAACTGTCTCCGGCCACTAGACCCAAAAAGAACAATCAGTCCACAAAATGTTGCGCCATTTCTCTTTAGGCCAGTCAATGTGCTCTTTGGCAAATTGTAACCTCTTCAGCACATGTGTTTTTTTTTTTTTTCAACAGTGGGACTTTGTGGGGGCTTCTTGCAGATAGCTTGGCTTCACATAGCCGTCTTTTAATTGTAACAGTACTCACAGGTAACTTTAGACCTTCTTTGATCTTCCTGGAGCTGATTGTTGGCGGAGTCCTTGCCATTTTGGCTATTTTTCTATCCATTCGAATGGTAGTTTTTCGCTTTCTTCCACGTCTTTCAGGTTTTGGTTGCCATTTTAAAGCATTTCTGCATAGAAATCAGTTAGCTTCTAGATTTTACTGTCAGCTTAACTGAACATGCTGAAGTTAGAAGCTGATTGGCTACCATGCACCACATTCTGAGTTCTCCAGTTTTATTAAATATCTCCCATAGTGTGTGTGCATATGTAACTGATGCATAATCTCCCTGGTGTGCTTGCACACACGAATGTACAGTGGATATAAAAAGTGTACACACCACTGTTAAAATGTCAGATTTCTGTGATGTAAAAAATGAGACAAAAATAAATTGTTTCAGAACTTTTTCCACCTTTTTTAAGGTAACCTATAAACTGTACAACTCAGTTGAACAACAAACTGAAATCTTTTAGGTGCAGGGAAGTAAAATTAAAACATATTGTAGTTGCATAAGTGTGCACACCCTTAAGCTAATACTTTGTTGAAGCACCTTTTGATTTTGTTACAGCACTCAAACGTTTTGGGTATGAGTCTATGAGCATGGCACATCTTGACTTGGCAATACTTGCCCACTCTTCCTTGCAAAAACACTCCAAATCTGTCAGATTGCAAGGCCATCTCCTGTGCACAGCCCTCTTCAGATTTTCGATCAGATTCAGGTCTGGGTTCTGGCTGGGCCATTCCAAAACTTTAATCATCTTCTGGTGAAGCCATTCCTTTGTTTATTTGGATGTATGCTTTGGGTTGTTGTCATGCTGAAAGATGAAGTTCCTCTTCATGCTCCGCTTTCTAGCAGAAGCCTGAAGGTTTTGTGCCAATATTGACTGGTATTTGGAACTGTTCATAATTCCCTCTACCTTGACTAAGGCCCCAGTTCCAGCTGAAGAAAAACAGCCCAAAAGCATGATGACTGCCACCACCATGCTTCACCGTGGGTATGGTGTTCTTTTGGTGATGTGCAGTGTTGTTTTTGCACCAAACATAACTTTTAGAATTCTAGCCAAAAAGTTCAACCTTGGTTTCATCAGACCATAACACATTTTCTCACATGCTTTTGGGAGACTTCAGATGTGTTTTTGCAAAATTTAGCCAGGCTTGGATGGTTTTCTTTGTAAGAAAAGGGTTCCGTCTTGCCACTCTACCCCATAGCCCAGACATATGAAGAATACAGGAGATTCTTGTCATATGTACCACACAGCCAGTATTTGTCATATATTCCTGCAGCTCCTTTAATGTTGCTGTAGGCCTCTTGGCAGCCTCCCAGACCAGTTTTCTTCTTGTCATTTCGTCAATTTTGGAGGGACGTTCAATTCTTGGTAATGTCACTGTTGAGCCATATTTTCTCCACTTGATGATGACTGACTTCACTGTGTTCCAAGGTATATCTAATGCCTTGGAAAGTCTTTTCTTCCCTCCTCCTGAGTGATACCTTTTAACAATGAGATCCCTCTGATGCTTTGGAAGCTTTTTGCGGACCATAGCTTTTGCTGTATGTGACTAAGAAATTGTCAGGAAAGACCTACTAGAACAGCTGAACTTTACTTGGGGTTAATCAGAGGCACTTTAAATTATGACAGGTGTGTAGTGACTCCTATTTAACATGATTTTGAATGTGATTGCTTAATTCTGAACACAGCTACATCCCCAGTTATAAGAGGGTGTGCACACTTATGCAACCACTTTCTTTTAGTTTATGTTTACTCCCCCCCTAAAAGATTTCAGTTTTTTTTTCAATTGAGTTGTACAGTTTATAGGTCACATTAAAGGTGGAAAAAGTTCTGGAATTATTTCTTATTTTTTTTTTTCTTCACAGAAACCTGACATTTTAACAGGGGTTTGTAGATTATTTTTATTTCCACTTTACCTGATGTGTAGTGTCTCCGGTGTGCACACAGGTAATTAATGCAGGTTCTCCAGTCTGTAACTGATGCATATATCTCCTCTTTGCATTCACATGTAACTGTTGCATAGTGTGCCCTGTACGCACACATGTAATGAACAGTAGCAGTTGTCCTTTATTCTGACATTCACCCATACCAAGACCTCAGTTGCACACCTATAGCTCTAGTTCTCACTGATCCATGTTCACAAACAAGACCCTAGACTTCTGGCAGGCACACAGGGGCTGCTGACATACACACTCAGACTCATAATGGGGTTCCTAGATCACACCGTTACTCTAAGGGCTCGTTCACACTAGGCTGTTTTGCCAACGCTTGCCAAACGCCCCTATAGCGTTTGGCAAGCGTTGGTCCGGCGTTTGCGGAGCGTTATTAACGCTCGGCAAACGCTCCGCAAACGCCGCATGCGCGGTTTAGTGGAGGTTGCTAGGCGTTTGCCGAGCGTTAATAATGCCTCACAAACGCCTATAATGCAGTTTGAGTGGTGTTACCGCTCCGCAAACGCCCCGCAACCGCGTCGCAACCGCACCGCAAACGCCCGGCCGGGGGTTTGCGGAGCGGAACCATAGACGAGAATAAGAGGCTTCAAAGCCTCCTGACTCGTCCAGAGGCGTCCGTTTTGCCGCGACGCAAACGCTCCCGTTAGAACAGCACCATGTGCAGAATTGGCAGAGGCGTTTGGGAAGCGGTAAAAACGCTTACCAAACGCCTCTCTGCCGCCTGCACACAAGGCTAGTGTGAACGTAGCCTAATACAGACACACATAAACAGAAGCACTTGTGGTTTTGGTCAACCGTTTTTAGTTTGGGTGCCATTTCAAGAATCTGTAAATTTAACATGCAGCTGTACAGGGTGATAGAGATTTAAAAGAATGGTTGTGTTGAATAATTATTTAAACATAGTCGCAAAATTGTTTGCTCTTAATAATATGTTGTACTTGGTGACCTAGTTACATTTTTGTTTTTTTTTTGGACAGATTTCTACTGATTTTGAAAATGTTGTTTTTGATTATTCTTAAATTTTATAAAATATTTTATTACATAATAAATGTTCCTATACTTTAACCTTTACTTTTTGTAGGCAAAGCCATTGGAGGCTCCATGCCCAAAGGATGATGGTGTTTTTAAGGCACCTGCTCCACCTCCTAAAGTGATTAAAACTGTGACTGTTCCCACCCAGCCCTATCAGGACATAGTGACTGCACTGAAATGCAGAAAGGAGCACAAGGAAGTGAGTACTTTGCATTGTGGATCTAAGGAGATTTGACATTACTTGCTTAGTGGACTATAGTTACTTTACAGATAGACCCGGTTTAATTTGTTTGTCCACTTCTTAGTTTTATTCAGAACCCTGAGAAATGTTATGAATCTGTAATGCTATGTCTTTTTTGGGTGCTGTTTTTTTGTTTGTTTTGAATTACACAAGACATTGGTAAAATGAAGAAGCAGTAGCTTTGATGCGTTTACATTTTGGGAGTTTTCATAGTGGGTCATTAGAAGTACATCTGTATGAGCATGCTGCAGCCTCGCCAGTATGTACTACCCCCTTCAGCTACCATTGCACAGTATGGGTGGGTGACAAAGCAGACTCAAGCACCTAATATTTATTTATTTTCTCACTTACCCTGGCCATCCATGTAAACCCCTGCAGGACTGTACATGCGTTGTCATGTTTGGTATGATCAAATCTAGTGATGAAAGGCTTTTTAGAATGTATGTGTATGCCTTTTAATTGCTGCAAATTTTAAACTTGTTTGACCTGTTGAAAATACAAGAAAGAATGTTTATCCTTTAAATATCTGTATGGGCCTAGTTTAAATTTGTTTTTTCATATTGCTAAATCTTACAAACCAATTAGGGACCCGAAATAACACCTGCTTTACATGCTGTAGGATCTCTTTAACTCCTAAAAAGTACAGTTTATGGTAGAGGTAACTGAGACTTTGTATTTGAAGTTCCTTGCCAATGCTTTCAGAAACCACTGCCAAATAGCAACTATTCAGTTTATAAACCACTCATTTATACATAAACTGTAAACAAAAGCTCTGTCCAAATGTGTCCCCCAAGACCTAGGCATTACATGGCATAGAGAAGGTGAAACCAGGTTGTTCACTAAAGCCTGCACATCTAGATTTCTCAGTCCTTCATGTGATGATAATACATCCTTGCTCTCTGCATATGTCTTCAACGAGATGGTTAGAGATGGGGATGAGAGCTTAAAGCTAAACTCCAGGACGTGAAAATCTTACCTAAATACAAAACATATGCATGCTTTCTTGGATGTTGGCATGCCTTGTGTGGTGGCGGTGTGTTTTTTTTTTTTTTTTAATCTGTTCAGTAATTTTGTGTCGTTCTCTCCTTTTTGTGCGGGTACTTCCTACAATAAAGACCAGTTACTGCTGCTGTCTTCTTGTGCCTGGTGACTGGTTTTGTATCTGCTAGTGATACACCGAAATGAAAATTATGGTGCTGAAACCGATATCGAAAATTCAGAATGCATGTGGCCGAAAACCGAACCGAAATGTCTGCGTATGTGGGGAGACTCCAAATTTTTTTTTTTTATTCTTTTTTTCTAATTTCATGTATATTTTTTTTTTTTTTTTTTTTTTTTAACTTATGATTTTATTGCTGTCACTTAGGGGACAAATAGTCCCCTATGTGATAGCATATTAGTGACAGGTCCTCTTTGTAAGGGGGGTAGGGAGTGGGGGGCAGTGTGTGCAAGGAGGGGGCAGGAGAGGAGCAGTGTATACAGGGAGGGAGCAGTGTATACAGAGAGGCTCCCTCACTGGCTCTCACTATGTTGGTGCCGATTTTTAAATGCAATTTTTTTCTTCGCTATAGCTCACAGAATTAGCTGTCACTTTCCCTGGAGCTAAAGGAAACTTTTGTTTTTTTATCTCCAGAAAGAAACTAAAAGGAAACATTTGTTTCTTTTACCTGGGGGGAAAGTGACAGCTAATTCTGTGAGCTATAGTGAAGAAAAAAAAAAACAAAAAACCGGTAATTACATTTAAAAACCGGCACTGATATATAGTGACAGCCAGTCACTGTGTACACTGCTCCTCTCCTGCCTTTCTCCGCCCCACCCCTCACATCTGCAGTACACACAGTCTCCTGTATCGGCTAAACTTTTCCTATCTGCAAAATGCTGATAGGGCTATTTTCGGCCGATATGTTTTGGTGGCTGACATTTCGGTGCATCCCTAGTATCTGCCCCCTTCCTGTACTGGGTGCACCTACTGGGTCCCACCCACAGCTCTATCTGCACTCGTTATGTGCAGCACAGTGATAGTCTTACCACTGCGTTTACAAGGTATTTACATAGGTTTGAAATGGTGAAATTCACTTTTATCATTTGTTGGTTGAAAAACATATCTAAGAGTTTTTGCATGAGCTTTAACTTTGACTTTTGACAAAAGCTCAAAATATTTATAGCTGTTAAAGTGCTCTATAGGCTCCATTCACACTTGTGCAACTTCACAACTGAGATTTTCATTGTGACTTTGCAATGCAACTTGATGCGACTTTCACACGATTTAGGATGATTATGACTTTGATCAAGGATGATTGTGCTGTACAAAGTTGCACACAAGTCGTGTGTATATCATTCAGGAGCAACTTTCATGCGACTTTGTAAGGTTTACATTGAAGTCTGTGGCCCTCAAGTCTCATGAAAGTCAGACCAAAGTAGTGCAGAAACTACTTTTCTAGTCTCTGCGACTTGAAGTAGACAGATATGCATGTAGTTATTGGGATACACAGGGTGCGACTTGTCATGCGATTTTGCACCCCAAAGTCACATAACAATTCCAACAAATGTGAACGGGCTCTTAGAATGCACGTTTTGGTGAAAGGAGATGCCTAAAACCGATAATCGAGCCGATACTGAAGGCACCACTATGTTTACAGACTTGGGGAATTCAATTGTTCACTTTAACTTCTCTTTTAAAATCACTGTTGCCAAAAATAGCTGAATATTTGTCACTGTGTTCTGTGGATTTAGTGATTTTAACTTTTTTTTTTTTTTTTTTTTTTTTTTTACACTCCCATAGTAATTGAATTGTAGGGGCACTTAGATTGGTGCTTTTCAACTTTTAGTTTGATGTGAGTGTTGCAAAAACATGGATTCCTTGTGGTTTTGAGAATTTCAGAGACAGTAGGAAATGCATGACTCTTTTCATAATAGTATGGCTCCAGCAGCTAGTTGCTAATTGGCAGATAAGATTTATCGCGCTCTGACTTCATTTACTAATGATAGAACACCAAAACCAATTTATATACATAGGTTTATTATATATATTTTTTCTTATTAATAATTTTTTTTTGTCCTAGCTGTACACTGTTGTTCAACATGTGAAACACTTCAATGATGTGGTGGAGTTTGGAGAGAATCAGGAGTTTACTGATGATATTGAGTACTTGCTGAGTGGGCTTAAGTGTAATCAGCCCATAAACACACGATGCCTTAGGTGAGTCAACATTAAATTTTTCTGTTCATGCAGATAGATTACGTAGTCATTTTGAAAAAGACACAAGTCTATCTTGTTTAACCAATAGAATAATCGAAAACCTACATACACACAATCCTATACTCCGTTCATCCAGAGGAAGTCAAAAAATATATATATATATGAAGCATGGTCCAATATGCTCCAACAGGAAAAAAGTCCTCTCTGATCCCCTGAAGGCAATTGGATATTCCATGGATATAATAATCTCTCTTAATATCTATTAATATCCAGTTAGATTTTATGCATTTAGAAATGCATCCATCTCTTTTTAAAACCGTCTACTGAACTGGCCAGAATTAGTCCTTATGGGAGTCTATTCCACATTTTTTACATCTGTTACTGTGAAAAAGCCTTTCCATATGTGGAGGTTAAATCTGTGTATTTATATATGGCGATAATATTCCCCCACCCCCCCAATCACCTTTTCTCAAGGCAATAGTTTCAGTTCAGCTGAGCACCTCCACGCCTCTTATCAGTTTTTTTCCGCACTTTCTCCAGTACATTACAACAAATTGATTTTGTTTACTGACATCCTCTTAAATAATAAATTAAACAATAATCAGGCCTTTGCTTCTAAGAGCAAGCCCTGTGCAGAGGATATACAAATTTGGGACTGGTTAGGGAGAATATCCCAGTCGCTTTCAAATTTGTAAAGTGTTCAGATAGTTTACTGAATATTGACTTTCTCTCATTGCAAGTAAGTTAAGCATGTTTGTTTGGTTTTATTTATTTTTTTTTTTTAAGAGCTTTTAATTGTAAAATAACATTCTGGTTAGTCTGATGATCTTTGTCTTTGATTTTAATGCTTTGCTTTTTGAAATCCGAGTAGGCTTGTGAGTGCTATTCTGAACCTTTTCTCTGCCTATAAACCCCATGTACAACATAAGTAAAAATTATATAACCAGCTAAGAACTGGTTTCCTGTTCATTGTTTCAGTAAAAAGACATGTAGATGATCTTTCACCTATATTTCAGATATTTAAGCCAGTACAATAAATATTTTATAATTTAAAATATATTAAAAAGAAAAAAAAAAACTGACTTGTTTATAGATTTCAGCAGTGTCTTTCATACAACCAGTGTTTCTCCTGTGCTTCTCTTCTGCCCTACCATCATGGTTCAAGGATCACTGGGAGTCAGCTTTTCTTGACTTTTTTTTTTTTTTTTTTTTGTTTACTGGTTCCTAGTTGAAAAACGTTTTTAGGTCATTTGAAATTGCTGTGGCAACCAGTAAGCAAGCCATAGTATTATAGAAATTGGTAGGTGAAATTCCATGACATTTCAGTCATACTCTGACTTGAGAACTTCAGCTTTTAGGAATATGTGACCCATTCTGCCTTAAATCTACCTAACCTGTCATCTTCCTCCACCAGCGAGACTCTCTGGCTTTTGTAGACACCAAAAATGTTTACTTAATTCACCTATCTTTTCTGCACATCAGTGATTACTATGCTTTGCTGTAGGGCCTCTGTACAGTTTGGTTTGTGCTGGCCCCTGGTACTGTCTCTGCTGAATTGTTTTGGCTTCCACGTTGTGTGGTAGAACCTCCTTTTTGAGGAAACCATAAGCATGGGCTCTTTGGAACAACAAGTTGGCCAACCAGCTGTTGCAGCAATTTGGATGATTCCACAACCTTCAGAAAAAAATTTGGGAACCAGCTCATCGCTTTGAGTATCTGGGTCTTGTTCTGGCTTACAAATCTGGCTATGGAGTTGGGCAAGTCCTTCCTTCCTGTCTTTTGGACCATCCTCATGACTGATGCAAGCCTGTCGGGGCAAAAAAGTGTTCCGAGAAATAGGAGTCTTGTTTCCAGATCAACATCTGGAACTTTGGGTTATTTTGCTGTCTCTACAACACTGTACCATCCACTTGGAGGTTCATGTGATCTGGATTAATATCATACAGCCCCCTCCCCAAGGCTGTGGGTGCATCGATCATCAGCGAGAAACCAAATGTCACCAAAACAGCTGTTGTTTTGAATCAGTCATTGGGAAGGGGGAAGGAAAAGAAAAGCGTAACAAGAAAATAACCAACACAAATCTAAGGTAGGCCCATTGTGGCCAGTATGGATCTTTAGATGAAAGTTTGGGGAACTTGATGTCCTTCTTAAACCACTTGTGACAAGATTGCCCTCTTATTTATGCAATTCCAAGCATACTATACAAAATTTAGAAAACTTTAGTGGATTGTACATCATAAGTGGGAGCTACAAGTGATTGCTCCTGTCAAGTCAGAAGCATAGCCACATTCTTCACTGCTGCTTAATCTGCAGGGTCAGTCCGTATACAGTACAGCCAATTTGACCCTACCTGCTCCTGTCTGTCAGCCGCCTGAGGGGGAGAGAATAGCTCCTGTCTGTCGGGAAGAAAAAGGGAGGCACAGCTGCATCCCAAGCTGCCACTCATCCTTCAGAACCAGCTTGTAAACCACACTGCTGGCCTGATTGCATCCACTCTTACTTATCAGTCGTCCGTTAGTGAGGGTACTGCTTAAGTCTGCAAGGAGAGGGAGGAAGAGAGGGATGCCCGGCTGCAGTCCAGTCACCTGGGTTGGTCTGACGATCGCACCATCTGCCCAACTTAGCCCACTCTTGCCTATCAGACATCAGAGGGAAGAGGAGCTGGCACACCACACCTTGACTGCTGAACAACTCTCTCCACCCAATAAGCAATTATCAGAGACCCTTTGCACTGCATCAGCCTGTTCCACCAGTCATCAAGCTGCTACCGGGAGATCAATGCACTCCAGTATTCAGAGGGGCCCTTCCACCACTGCGTTCCATCAACTTAAGTCAAGGAGCTGGTGAATTGGTCATTGACCTATTTTAGAATACTCTTTCTATACAAGTCATATTTTATGCAGTTATCCTTCTGCCTGCCTAGTCTGGATTGTCCATACTGACTTTACATCTGTACTGTCTATTGCCCTGCACGTTGATCTACAGTGTATAGCCCACTACCACTACACTGTGCAGGGGTGGCCAGCTTTCATGAAGGGCACTAACAGCAAGGACAGAGGATCCATACTAAGGAGTGTATATAGTTCATTAACTGGGTTTCAACCATTTCACATGTCTAATGTGCAGAAAGAGAGAGAACTAGGCCTAACCCACCCATTATTGGTTTGCTCAGACATCTTAGCCCTATACTCTTGCTGCAATATCTGTTGCCCTGAACTTGTGGGGACGAATACACTTTAATTGTTATTGGCGCACATTGTCAGTGAGTGAAACATGTTACTACAAACTGTGCTGTTATACTCCGTACACCTACTTCTCAAGAGATAATATATGCTGTTACCTACTGTATAGATTACAATGTTCAAGGAAACTGATCTTTACAGATCTGTTTCTCCCTCCCATATAAATTGATCTAACCTTGATGGGGTTGTTAAACTATCGTAAAGTCAATGTACGATCTTAACAAAAACACTTTTCGGGGAATGTTCTCCTACATGCAGCCAGTTGCAATCCCGCCCATGCCTTAAAGAGGAACTACACTGCATCTAAGCAGCACAAACCAAAAACACTACTTTTATTTTTAGTATTTAAAGCAAACTCCCCAATACATCCATGTCTCCATGCTTTATTTTCCTGAGAAATCAATTTGAAAAACACTCCTAGCATTTCTGGCCACGGCCATCTTAAGTAAGGGCAGATAAATGTACTTCTTGAAATCTGCAATCCATCTGCTTTAGCTGAGAAAACCCCTCTTCCGCTCCTGAAGACTCCTGGGATGCATGAAATAATTTTTCCTAGGTGTAGAAACCAGGAAATAACTGAAACGTGTAAAAAAGAAAAAAAAAGTTTAAAACAAGTAAATATAATCTACTTTCCTATCCATTTACTAATGCTAGTAGCATCAGGTTTAAAAATAGTCAAAGTTGATTGAGAGAGTGAAGTTCCGTTTTTGAGAGTGATAACAAGGGGCCAATTTTTAAGGGCCAGATGGAATTGCTCTACCCAGCAGGATTTTGATAACAAAGCTGAGTTGATGGAAATAAGGTTCTTTGAATGGGGTTACAAGAAAGCTGAAGTCATTTCTGCAAGTGGAGTGTCTGAGCTGGTGGTCTTATCCTGCACTAGAGAAAAGGTGGTGTTCAGGCCTGGGACTTTATTCTTGCTTAAGGTCGTTTCTGCCTTTCACCTCAACCAGGACATTGTCCCTGTCCGCTTCAGTTCACCAAAAGGATATCTTCCATATTCTGGATGCACAGCATGCTTTGGGATTATGAAACACTTCTGAGTGTGCTGTCCTCCAGTGATGTGAGGTCTGAGCTCCGTCCCTGCCAGACCAATGTAACTTTCTCTCTTGGTTGGCGATCTTCTTGCTTTGCCCAATTGGACAGGCACTGATGTATCTCTCCCACGTGCATATTAGGGTTACAAATTACAAAGTCTGTGTTAAAATTAACTGCTTGAAGTTCGGACACTTTCACCCCTTTCCTGTCCAGACCAATTTTCAGCTTTCAGCGCTATCACACTTTGAATGACAATTGCACGGTCATGCAACACTGTACCCATATGAATTTTTTTTGAGACAGATAAAACTTTATTTTGGTGGTATTTATTCGCCACTGGGTTTTTTGCTATATAAATGAAAATTCCAAACATTTTGAAAAAAGTTTTTCTTATAAAAGTTTGCAAATAATCTTTCTTCATAAATCTTGGCCAAAATGTATTCATCTATCTTTTTAGTAAAAAAAAAAAAAAAAAAAATAACCCAAATTAGTTTATAATCAAAAATTTATCATTTTTTAAAAAAAGTTGACATTTTTATTTTATTTAATTTTTTTCTTTAATGTACTGCCACCATAGTGACACTGTACTACTTGTACGGGGTGATTAATTTTTTTTTTTTTATTTTTACACTGATTGCTTTTACACTCATAAAGGCTGTAAAAGCAATAATTTCTCCTTCTCTCTGGTTGCATTCTTGCAACCATTGAGAAATTCTGTGAGAGCTGTGATTGGTCACAGCTTGTCATATGGTACAAGGTTGTGAATAGCCTTTTACCATGTGACCGCTGTGATAATTCACAGATTTCACTAGTAGTAAGCAATGATGTTACTACTATTCATGTGATCACTGATTGGTCAATCAGTGATCACATGATTGGGACCTCACACAGAGCGATTGGTGTTCTGCTGTGTCCTCTGGACACTGCGGGCACCAGGGAGTGCGCACAGGCAGGGAAGCGTGGAGGACGTTTATAAATGGCCACCCGCTCCTGCAATGCTCCCATCCGGCCACTTTTAAATACTTGGCCAGATGGGAAGTGGTTAAAAATTTGCTAGCTGGTAAGGTGTGTGTGTGTTTCTTGTGTATATATAAAAAAAAAACAAAAAAAAAAAAAAAAAAAAAAACTGATAAATTCAATCAAAAGACCCTACTACCTGCTGGCAAATTTTGGTTTTACAGAGTTATTCCTGCTTTAAAAGAAAACTTGTATCTTTTACACCTTCCTCTCTCATAACACGAACCCTTATGTTATAATGAGCCTGTCACAAATTAAAGTACAACTCTAGCCAAAACTTGGCATCACTTGCACTTTAATAATTCTTAAACGCTTCTAATAATAAAAACTTTTAGCATATGGGAAGGACCGAATCCCTGTCAGCTGCTTTTTGTATCTATCCCTTTTTCTCGCAGTTGTATTACTCGCAGTTTATTGAAGTCACAGTATGTTAAATAACATTTTTTTTTCTTTTCAATAGTGTAATAAGCTTGGCAACAAAGTGCGCAATGCCAAGTTTCCGAATGCACCTGAGAGCACATGGAATGGTAGCCATGGTCTTTAAAACACTGGATGACAGTCAGCACCACCCGGTAAATTTCATTACTTTAATTTGCGTGTGCAGTCCTAAATATTTTTACAATAGTCTAATGTGTATGTATTGTAATGTTTTACATGTAACTGTTGTAGTGCCAGTAGTCTTCTGATTTTTGTGTTTATTTAAAACATCAGTTCCACCCTGCAATAAATTACATGCCGATCCATTTGATGCAGATATCGAACCATTACCTTACCGATTCCTTTGCAGGCTGTTTTCATACTGCTAGTCTGTAGCATTTTTAAAGTAATCCTGTCAGTAACATATACTTATTCAAAAAGGTTTCTTGCTGAATGCCGCTTTATTGAAGACAGAGGTCTATAGAAATAGAAATTTCCTCTGCTTAATGGTTTTTGTTGTGAACCTGTATGTCACTACAGGACACAGAAGTGTCTTTTTTAGACACGACTACTTATTGACATGGCCACCTAAAGTAAAACTACACATCCCCACCAATCCCCCCTACCCTTCTGTGCCGTCATCTTCAAAATCCAAGGCGTGTGCATATGCTCTGTAGGTCTCTGGCAAGTATTTGGGACCTGGAATATGGGAACTGTAGACCAGTGATGTGTCTGCACAAGTGGGGAATCCTTGCAGCATGCATGTGCCTTTTTAGTAACAAGCTGTCCCCTGGGATAGGTATGACTTGGCAGTCCTAGGAAGTGGCAGGGCCCAGGCTAAGCCAGAAAGCAGATGTGCTACCTTGCAGCACAAAAAAGTAATACACTATAGAGATAATCGTAAAACTTTTTCTCATTTTTGTAAGAGGGATTGGATAGTGAGGTGAGCAAAAGGTTGCTGTAATGGGTTAAGTTCCACTATAATAGCCTCCATTTATTCTTAAGAAGATTTGAGGAGTGGTGTAGTAGTAAACTCTCGTTTTCTATTTTCAACTACAGGTAAGTTTACAATAAAGCTGTAGGTAAAATTAATATCTCCTAAACTAGGGAAGGAACTTTTTTCATGGACACCATGCAGTAAAGCAAAGATCCCCGGGGGTGGTTGAGAGTGGGGGCTGGGTTGTTCTAGGCGGCACTCGTGAAAAAAAAAAAAAATCGCCCCCCTTCCCCCACAGTAGTGTCCTCTGCCCCATACACATCACCCCCTTCCCCCAACACACACACACTGTAGTGTCCTCTGCGTCCCTGTCCCCCCCCCCACACACACACAGTCTCCTGTGTCTCCCCCCCCCCCCTTCTCATGTGTCCCCCCCCCCCCCCCATAGAGTCTCATGTGTCTCTCTTCCCCCCCACAGAGTCTCCTGTGTCTCCTCCCCCCCCCCCCTTCCCCCCCCCCACAGTCTCCTGTGTCTCCCCCCCCCCACAGAGTCTCCTGTGTCTCCCCCCCCCCCCACAGGGATTCTTGTGTCATCCCTCCCACAGAATCTCCTGTGTCATTTCCCCCCCCCCAGAGTCTTATACTCTGTCTCAGTGTTATACTAGCACATTATGATATTCCCTTGCAGCAGGGAACCCTTTTTTTTTTTTTCTTTGACTACTGCTGTAAAGCTTTTTTAGAAAGTAGCCTGCCTTCTTGAGAAATTAATTTGTGGACTTGGATTGTATGTTTGCTATTTTAAAGAGATTTCCCTCACTAATTGTTCCATTGACAACAGTTTAATCAGACAGGAAGCTTCGGCAGGATATGAACTTCAAAGCAGAATTCAGGCAGTACTTTTTTTTTATTTTTGCTGCTAGATGTCCTTAGTCTGACTAAACCATCTCCAATTTCTATAAGGCCAAGTTGTCCTGGACTTGGGCTAGCCTGTGAATGGACAGTGAAAGGAGGAGCTGTGCAGTAATGAGCTTTATCCAACTGTCACTCTGCTTTGGTTTCCTATCCGATTGCTTCTTGTCACTACATGAGCTGGTTGGCTCTTTAAGCTACTTCTCCCACTCTCCAGCTCTGCTGTACAGAGTGTAGAAGAGGCTGATAGAAGATCAAGTGGAGATACTTGCACTGCTTGCATTAAAAAGACACAGACATGCACACACACTTTCTTTTTAATCAGAGTATAGCATCAAGTCAATGAAACTCCTGGGATATTGATCTGGTCAGTTAAGTAGCAGAGGGGGTTGTTAATCCATTTCAGCTGCTTTGGTGTTAATGAAATTAACACGTGCAACAATGAGATGACCCCCAAAACAGGAATGGTTTTACAGGTGGAGGCCACCGACATCCCTGCTCCTCTTTTCAGACTGTTTTTCACTAGTTTTGCATTTGGCTAGGGTCAGTGTCACTACAGGTAGCATGAGGCGATACCTGGACCCTACAGAGATTGCACAGGCAGTCCAACTCTTCCAGGATGGCACATCAATATGTGCCATTGCCAGAAGGTTTGCTGTGTCTCCCAGCACAGTCTCAAGAGTATGGAGGAGATTCCAGGAGACAGGCAGTTACTCTAGGAGAGCTGGACAGGGTCGTAGAAGGTCCTTAACTCATCAGCAGGACCAGTATCTGCTACCTTGTGCAAGGAGGAACAGGATGAGCACTGGCAGAGCCCTACAAAATGACCTCCAGCAGGCCATTGGCATGAATGTCTGTGTCTGACCAAACAATCAGTCTTCATGAGGGTGGCCTGAGGGCCCGACATCCTCTAGTGGGCCCTGTGCTTACTGTCCCGCACAATAGAGCTTGATTGGCATCTGCCATTGTGCACCTGAATTGGCAAGTCCACCACCGGTGCCCTGTTCTTTTCACAGATGAGAGCAAGTTCACCCTGAGCACATGTGACAGACTTGAAAGGGTCTGGAGAAGCCATGGATGTGCAATCAATTTAATTTACCACAGGTGGACTCTAATCAAATTGTAGAAACATCTCAGCAACGATCAGGAGAATTGGGAGGCACCTGAACTAAATTTGTGTTGTTGCAAAAGGTCTGAATATATATGCCAATGTGATTTAACCTTTTAGCAAGCATTCCTAAAATTCTGATTTCACTTTGGTATTATGAGATACAGAGTGTAGATTTAATGAGGAAAACATTTAATTTAAACAACTGTAGTATCAGGCTGCAACATGCAAAATTGAAAAAAGTGAAGGTCTGAATACTGTGAATGCACTGTATATATTTAATTATGTGTTGATGATTACAGAGCTGCAATAATGTCTATCTGCCTGCATTTTAACTGTAATATGCTTGATTTCCACAATGACCATTTATTGCCAGGGAAAACTGTTGTAGCCCTCATTTTTAGAAATCTTTTTTACAACTACCTCTTATTTATTGTCCTTTGCTTATATCACAGAATCTAGCTCTCTGTACTGCTGCGCTAATGTATATACTAAGCCGAGACCCGCTTAAATATGGACCTTGACAGAGCTAGTCTGGACCTCATGATACGACTTTTAGAAATGGAGCAAGATATCACATCCAAGCATATGAATGAGAAAGATATGAACAAAATAAAAGAGAAAATTCGCAAGTTGTGTGAAACTGTTCACAATAAGCATCTTGACTTGGAGAATATCACAGTAAGTGTTTTTGTTTTACCGTTGGGACCTCTGAGGACATCTGTTAACCCTTTTCGCTGCTAGGTCTGTACGCCGTACAGACCTGACAGGGTGTTTTTTTTTATACAATCCAGTGGCTGCTTCCACCGGGATTGTTTATAAAGCTGACAGGCAGACTCCTGCCTGTCATGTGGAAGCAATCAGGCTGCTCCGCTGCCCCCGATTGCTTCCACAGACCCTGGTTCCGGTAATTTTTACTGACCATTTACAGTTCCTAGACCTTTTGCAATAATATCGTGTGACATAAAAATTGGAACTACCACTATTTTATTCTTTAGGCTGAGGTGTCTGCTTTTAGAAAATATGATGTTTAGGATTTTTTGTAATCTGCAGGCCTAAAATAATTTTTTTTAAACGTGTGCAAAAATGGCTCTGGCAGCGAATGTGTTAATACATCTCGCAACTGAGACGCTTACCAGGTGCAGGACTGTCACTCTTTTGCAATACCATGTCCTGTGCTGCTTCTGATCATTAGGAATGGCAGTCACCAGCATTGAATTGGAAGCCTCAGATATGCCAGGCGACAGCTGTCGTGACATGTTCTCGCTGAGATTTTTGGCAGTGCCCTATAGTTCTGGCCTTTTGGAGAAGTTCTCCTCTTCGTTTGGCAATTGCTATCCTCTGTTGTGATTTTACCCATTTAGTCTTGAGCTTTTAACGTTCTTTTATATGACGTTTTACCTATATCACCAATCTCTCCGAAGACTGTATTTTCCGGTATTTTATTTTTAATTGTGTGGGAAGCGGTTAAACTTTGCTGTTAATCCCCTCCAATGCAAAGTCACTAGGTCTGACTAGAACGAGGAATAAAGCCAAATAATAATTTAACACTTAGAGTAACTTGACATGGCCTTCTCACAAAATTTTGGGCTTGCATTTTGTTTTGTTTCTTCTTATACTGGGGTCTTGCTTGTTTCTAGTCCTTCTTCATTTTTTTTTTTTTTATTTATACAAAACGATCTTCCATAACTTGGTGTTTTGTAAGCATTAAACCCCTTTATTTAGCAAATGATTTTATTACCATGCAGTACACAGTAAAAGTTACCAAAATAAGCTTCTCTTTCCAAATATACTGTAACTTGCAAAATGTAACTGCATTGCTGTCTAGGTTGAATTAGTGGTTTGAGGAACCAGAAGTGAACACCTGGGCTCTACATAGCAGCGGTGCTTAGGGGTAGTCCAGGAGGCTCTGAGTGCCACATGAGGCGGTCAGAGCACTTCACCCCCTGTATTTATTTATGGCTGGGATGATGCACATGTGTAGTATGGCCAGTGACCTAATGGATGAGCGGATTGTACTGGTGGTTGCCGTCTCTTAGGCCCTTTACACGTGATGCAGAAGTAAGCAACCGGAACACTTCACGGTAGTACTACAGTTCTCAGCACGCACGTATATTGCACACCTAAGTGTGATTACACAGCTGCTACCTTGTAAGGGAGGTGGATTGCTAGCACAGGACAGGTTTTTGTTTGTTTTTTTTCCCTTAGGGAGCATCTAGTTCTTTCCTTTGCAGAGTACCAGCACACTGTTGCTGTTTTACACCATGTCCTGTCTGCTGACTTGGACCACTACTTCAGCAAGGGTCCAGTTATAGCTTTTGGCAGGCCATGTCTCAGCGATAGCACAGAGGAGGGGATCTAGAAGAAAGACGTCCCAAATCCCTTCATCGGGCAAGGAAGAACCTGGCTGTAACCCCCCTTGTTACATATCCCCTGGTGGTCAGTTCCTTGCTTCTCTGGCTCACTCCACTTGTCTGGTCTTTCCAATACCTCCAGGGTACCCCATACTCCAGTTCCTTTGTGTCAAGGGTGGGTTTTTATCTGTTATTACTGGTTTACAACACCAACTCTTTGTAATGCTTTCCAGTTTCGTCTGTCTTGGTCTCAAATGGAAATGTTTTAAATCTCCTCCTCCCTCCTTATTAACAGAGGAGGAACCTGCAGAGGTTGAGGTAGAGAGGGATGAGAATTTTCGGTTGGAAGGGAATGGGGAAGAATCCTCATCTGAGGAATCCCAGGGTCTTATTTAATCTTGGATACAAAAGGACTTTTCTTGCGCAAGTGGTCCTGACCAATTTAAAGCTACTGCTTTTATGAGTCCCCTGCCACTAAGGCTACAGAATTTGGATCATGGCCCCCGCTTTAACATCCTCAGTTCTTTTCTGTACATCCTTGTTTAAAATATTTTATACGCAGATTGGGCCACCCTGACAAGGCGTTTGCTCCGCCAAAGTTTGCCCAACCTTACCCAATAGAGTTTAAAAAAAAAAAAAAATCTTAATTTTCCAAAAAATAACTTCAAAAAACTCGCTATGCCTCTTGCTAAATATTTTGAACTACCTACTTTGCAAAAAGGGGTTGTTTGGAGTATTTGTACTGTCCTGTCATTCTAGGGCCTCACAAAATGACGGTTGTTACAGAAGGACTGATTTGATTTTCAGATATACTTTATATACCAGAGTTTGTAGATTTTCGCACAGATTAATACACTGATGTGGGTTATTTTTACCAAAGCAATGTAGCATAATACATTTTGGCCAAAATTTATGAATAAAGATTATTTATTTGCAAAACAGAAAATTAACAATTTTTATTTTTCACTTGTATTGCAAAAAAATCAAAAACCCATTGTTGAATAAATAGCACCAAAAGAAAGCTTGCTCTGTCTCAAAATAGATAAAATTGTAATTTGGGTATAGTGTTGCATGACTGAGTAATTGCCAAAGTGACAGCACTGATAGCTGATAAATGGCCTGCACTGGAAGGGGGTGAGCTTGTCTGGATTTGAGGTGGTTAAACAGTAAAATTTTTTTTCTTGTTCAGTTCATTCAGTATTGGGTGTAGGAGTGCTGAATTTTTCTTGACTCCCTCTGGTGGATGATCATGGTAGTATGCATAGTTTAGCAGACGTACAGAAAGGGAAAGTACTGTGCTGGCCTAGTTTTACAATGTGATTTCTGTCTGGGGCACTTTAGTCTCCACATTATCTTCTTTGATCGGTAAATGGTTAAAAGGATATGTTCACACCATCCGCAGCGCTACAGTGCAGCTGCTGGTTGGTGTGCCATGTGGCCCAACCAAGATCAGTGCAGTGATTATGAACTGATCTTTGCGCTTCACATTATTCCTCTTCTTTTTTTTTTCTTTTTCTTTTTTTTACGCAAAGCCCTCTCATAAAGCTCAATTGCTGGCTGTGTGGTGCAGGCAATTTTTCTGTTTTCTGTGCAGTGATTACTCAGTCATGCAACAATGTACACAAACACGTTTTATACTTTTTTTTTTTTTTTAGACCAAAGTTTCTTTTGATGGTATTAAAAAAACACTGGATTTTCTTTTTTTAACTATAAAAATTGGGGAAAAAAAGTTTCCCTTAATTTTTTTTAAAATGAAAATGTCAAGATTGTACGAAAACCCCACCAAAAAACTTTATCTAAAATAAACCCCAAAGTGTTCGCATTTTTGCCATTGTTTGTGTTTTATCTGGCGAAACACATTGGGTTGTACCACCCCCCCATAAGATATTTCATCAATCAGCTCATCAAGTTTATAGCTGTTCCATCATCTCCTATATCTTTTCAGGAAGGTGGTTCAGGGTAAATAGCACTTAAGGGCACTGATATGTTCATGTTTTTACTATTAGAGAAATATATCTCTGTGCTTTTAACATATTGTGTGAAAGAACTTGATTTTTTAATATATATTTGTGTGTCTGTATCCTAGGGCAATCCTTACACTTTTTTAAAATCCCTCATACTTTTTCTTTTTTGATTTTCACTTAATATAAACAACTCGTGCATGATGTACAGGCTTGCATGAATGAACCCTAAAATGTGGGGCTTGGCAATGGTGCACTGTATACAGTATTGTACAGATCATAAACAGAGGGAAGAGGAGGTGAAAGGATTAGTATAAAGGTCACATGAAGTGGCTAGATGGACATCAAGGAGTTTGAGGTGCAGGATAAGGGAGATGAAAAGGGTAAAAGCAGAGCCAGTATTGAGATCAGATGTGTAGGAAAGGAGGGGTGAAGAAAAAGTAAAAAGATCCCAGGGGAAAGGAGTGAATGGATCTAATGCTGCTGTTCCATTTATTTGTTTTTCCATTGAAAAATTACTATGATCATTCCTCTGTTGTAAAAGGAAGGGGGAGGTTTTAACCATATAAACAATAGTTTACAATACTGTGACCACGTCACAGCAATCACAAGATACCAAACCCTTCAGATCAACTCGGTGCACTCTGTGTAGTCTTCTCATGACCGCTCTGTATTCCGCGATTTGCTGCTATTTAGCCCCATGGTGCCCTTTATCCAGTTGTGTTTATAAATGGCACTGGGTAAATAACCGGCTGCCAATTCACAGCTTTTAAACGCTTTTAAGGTGTACGTAGACCTTAACCAGTAACTTTGCTCGTTTGCTCACTTTTTCTATAATTAATAGCATTTTTCAGACCCATGCTTGTTCTGCCAGAAGTTCAGTCATTTTTTTTGTCATAATTTTTTGGAAAATGAAATTCAAATATTTTTATATTTTTTTTTTTACATACTGTCACCAGTGCAGTACAGCGTCATCATATAACTGGTGTGGCGGTGATCAGGGACACTGACAGATGGTGTGTTTTTTTTTTTTTTTTTTTGCGATTTTCTTTTCATAATACACTATGACCAAAGTAGTACAATGCTACCATAGTAACATTGTACTACTTTGGGGAATTGATCAGTATGTTGTTTTTTTTTTTGTACACAATAGGATTGCTTATATCAAAGAATTTTTTTTGCTATAAGCAAACATTTAACTGAATGAAATCGATTCATTCAGTTTTTGTTTCTTTTGTGTTTAGCTGTGATTGGCCATGGCTAATCACATGACACAGAAAGGGCTGTGATTGGCCCAGTCTGTGTATGTGATCACCAAGACCGATCACAGCTAGTGACACAATTGTATACAATGGATGGCATGAAAGGAAGCCTTCCATTGTGTTTACAACTGTCATTTGACCTGCTGTGATTGGTCACAGCAGGTCACATGGTACTGGCAACAGGCCGGTACACAGATCTGTCATGGGCTGTGTCCGAGGTACACAGCCAGTGACAGATCTTGCCACAGCACGGCCCTGCGGGCACGCGTGTTCTGGGAAGGACGTCATATGACGCCCGCCCGGGTGTCATTTTCCTATTGGCCGGGTGGGAAGTGGTTAAGAATGTAAGCTGCAGTATATTACATTTTTGTTTTGGTCTTGAATCTGTCTCTTTGCCATTTTACAGCAAGGTAACTGGTTCTCTTGGCTATAGCCGCTTCCAAACCCTGACACTGCAGCCATGCTTTCCTGCTGCTCCATTCATCTTTTGGAGAACTGAGTCTAATTCCTATTTACAAAGTGTTTTTACCTTCTCACCACCCAAGCAACTGTGTGTAAACATACCTGAAAGTACTGCAGGATTACACCTTGAAGATATCTGAGGAGCCTGTATTGAGAGCCTGTCACTTTGCCCTAAATGTGCTAAATACATTTTCTAAGGTCAAAATGTAAAGCCTACGTGTGGTCAAAAATTGAAGTGTTAGTAAACCCACAACAGTAAAATCAGTCTGTATATGCAGTAAAGCATGCTTGTTATACTCACTGTGGAACTTAAAGGGTTTTTCCTCCGCATTGTGTAAAAAGGCTTTTTGGTCTTGTCATCCCTGATTGTCTCATTCATCCTCAGTCCCCAATACATCTGCTGATAGAGCCCTAGGAGATACTCTGCACATTCTCAGTTTGTGTATTGCTGGAGAGGTGTGTTTTGTTTGGGATGAATGTTATCAGCATAGGGCCCATCAGGGGTTGTGCAGCCTCATAGTACAGAGGAGAATGAAAACCCCTCTTACATGCTTAAGCAGTGCTCACCCGGACAGAATTCTACATACTGCTGATGAGAAAAGGTATTTAGCAGATGAGAAAAGGTATTTAGCAGTTTATATTTACTAAAATAATTGCATTTCCCAGTTCTGTGTACAGTGGGAGACCAGATATAGTGAATGCATGGTCCTGGGTTTAGTAACACTTTAAAATAATGGCACCAGGGTAATCTACTCCTGCTGTTGTAATCTTGTGCAATGGGGGTTAATAGAGCTAAGAGGCCTGTCATATGTATTCATCAAGAGTGCTAACTATGCCTGTCCCTTCCCCCCCTCCTCCATTCACAGAAGCCAAACGATAGCTTCTAAGAATGAAAAACCCTCTATAAATGGAGGTGGATCTTTCATCTGCCTGTCCTCCGTGCATAATTTTGAGGCTTTAAATTCATTTTCATTACATACATATTTGTTCTTTGCTACTTCCCCCCTACAAAAGTAGAGTTAACCTTTTTAAATATTTATAGAACTGATTGCTTTACTTGCGGCAGTGGTAGTGTAAGGGGGTGTTGCACATCATACGTATTCAAAACCATACAAATTACCACTGGCAGATTAAATAGTAAAGTTAACTTTTAAGAACTAAAAAAAAAAGTTGTAATGGGAAATCTCCCAACGCGAGGAGAAATGCTAACTTCCATAATTGTCACAGGAACAGTTTTTTGTTTTTTTTTTTTTTTTTTTTTTTTTTTTTTTTTTTTTTTTTTTTAATGGAACTAATCTGTTTGTGTCCATTAGGTGCTTTTTAAAAAAATTTATTTAGGCAAAAGCTTGATAATTTGTACTCCCATTCTAATTCTGATAAGTTAAATTGCTCTTTATCAATCCACAGACTGGTCATTTAGCAATGGAGACATTACTTTCACTCACATCAAAACGAGCAGGAGACTGGTTTAAAGAGGAGCTGAGGCTTTTAGGTGGACTGGACCATATTGTAGACAAGGGTACGTATTGACATCCTGCACACAGGTAACACTCCCTCCCTCTGTCCCAGACTTCTTTTTATAGTTTTCATAGAACAGCATCAAAAAGAAACTGCTTTGATCGAGGTAATGCAGATTTGGAACACTTAAGGGTGTGTTTTTATTTACCTTCCTGCTTTGCCTGTATTGCTGTGCAGCAGTGCATACAGTATACTGCAAATCTAGTTTACAATCTAGATGTGCATTTGTTTTAATAAAACAGATTTCCCAAATCTGTGTATTATTAGATTAGTCTCTTCATTGCATTAACTTGTAGCAACCAGTCTTGATTTATCTTTAATTGGTCTGACCATGGCAAACTAAAATTTGTTGGTATGGGTTTCAGTTGCCTGCATATTACTTTGGTTCAGCGAATAAGTTATTCTAGAAGATATAGCTGAGACTTTTTCAAAGTGCTATGGGAATAATCTTATATTAATACACTTGTATAGTGTGACTGCTGACAATTTGAGATTTCTTTTTCTTTTTCCTTCAGTTAAAGAATGTGCGAATCATCTTGACAATGATGAAAATGAGGAGAAATTAGTTGCATTTTTATGGGGAGCTGAACGATGCTTAAGGGTCCTGGAGAGTGTAAGTATCTGCGTCTTGTTTGTTCATTCTCTTTCTGAAAACGTACTGATTATCCACCAAGTTGATAATTTAAAATCTGGCAGAGAAAACTGTTGAAGGCTGGTTACCAGTTCCATGCCAGCATATTTCTGTGCCAGAGCTGCATCCTATTCAAAACAAAAACATTTGAATGCTTATGAATATAATTGCTGTTACAATGAAAGCTGACTTGAAAAATGCAATCTCCTGTTTTGATTTTACAAGTTTTTCATTTAGTTTTGCTGCTAACATAGCCTGATTTAAACATTTGCTAGTTGATTCTTATATTAAATAAAATAATGTTATTAAGCTACTCCCAGCTTACCCTGTTGCTTGCCCATCATGGGTCCTGCAGGCCCTAGCATGTCCTTTTTGCTGTCCACAGCAAAACCTGTAAATCACAGCCTGCTGTAAGGTCTACAGTATAAAAAAAAATTTCAAGTCCTGAGCTACTAGCCAGGCCTTAAGAGTTACTCGCCACCAACAAACACACACAAACAGAGACACCTATGTACACACACGTACGTACACACACACACACACACATATGTATACGCACACAGGCACGTACAGACGCATACACACAGATACATGTACATACACAGAAATATACACGCACAGACACATATACACACAGACATGTACATACACACACGTATATGCACACACAGATGCACACAGACACACATGTACATGCACACAGACACACGCGCGCATGTACGTGCGCGCAGACAGGCGCGCGCATGCACGTGCGCGCAGTACGCGCGCGCAGACGTGCGCGAGCACGCGAGCGCACACACTGTTAAGTGCTCTCTCCTCTCCTCTGAAGCCACCACTGACTGACAGGATCATGTGACCAGAGTGAGCTGAAATTAGGCGCGCACACACCCCCCCCCCTATAAAAAGTTGCAATACTTCGTTGTTCACTCACAGAGCCGGGTACTGCAGTCTAGGGGGAAGCAGAGAACACAGCACACACTCCTTCCTTTGCTTTCACTGCGCTCAGCTATTGAGCAGTCTGACGGTTCCCAGTACCAATGACAGATCCGGCCTGCGCTCCGAGCCTGTTCAGCGAGACGGCCCTGGGACACACACTCGCCTCCACCATAATTTTCACTCGCCATTGGCGAGCAGGCAGATGGATATTTTAAGGCCTGGTCTACACCCTTACCCTATTGCTGCAAGAACAAGCATTTGCTTGGGAAGAAGGAAGCCCATAGTGATGTCATCTGATAGGCGGATATGTCCCTAGTACGTAAGATGGAAAAGTTTATAGCTTGCCAGCACCATCCTTGCTTATGAATAAAAAATATTAAAATGAACACAAAACATCCCCCGCATAAAAAAAAAAAAATAAATAGTTAGGTCCATATATATTTGGACACAGGCACAAGGCAGGATCCTCTCTATGGTAAAGAAAAACCCATTAACTTCCAGACAAGTGAAGGAAACTCTTCAGGAGGTGGGTGTATCAATGTCAAAGTCTACAATCAAGAGAAGACTTCAGGAGAGCAAATACAGAGGGTTCACCACAAGGTGCAAACCATTCATAAGCCTGAAGAATAGAAAAGCCAGATTAGACTTTGTCAAAAAAAAGTGTAAAAAAAAAAAAAAAGCCAGACCAGTTCTAGAAAAACTTTCTTTGGACGGATGAAACTAAGATTCATCTGTACCAGAATGACTGGAAGAAAAAAGTGTGGAGAAGGCTTCCACAGCTCATGATCCAAAGCACACAGTCATCTGTAAAACATGGTGAAGGCAGTGTGATGGCATAGGCATGCATGGCTTCCAGTGGCACTGGGTCATTGGTGTTTATTGATGATGTGACAGAAGACAGAAGCAGCCGGATGGATTCTGCAGTGATTACAGATATACTGTCAGCCCAGATTCAGCCAAATGCAGCAATGTTGAGTAGATGGCACTTCACAGTACAGATGGACAATGATCCAAAACACACTGCAAAAGCAACCTAGGAGCTTTTGAAAGAAACGAAGTGGAATATTCTGCAATGACCGAGTCAGTCACCTGATCTCAACCCAATTGAGCATGCATTTCACCTGCTGAAGGCAAAACTTAAGGCAGAAAGACCCACAAACAAAGAACTGAAGGCAGCTGCGGTTAGAGCCTGGCAAAGCATCAGAAAGGAGGAAACCCAGTCTTTGGTAATGTCCATGGGTTCCAGACTTCAGGCAGTCATTGCCAGTAAAGGATTCTCAAAATACTAAAAATGAACCTTTTATTTATGATTATATTCATTTGTCCAATTACATTTGTGCCACTGCAAAGGGAGGGACTGTGTATAAAAATGGTTGCAGTTCCTAAAATTTGTACTTTGATATTTATATTCAGCCCCTTTGAATTGAAGCTGAAAGTCTGCACTTCTTCAAAGTCATTTGGATTGTTTTGTTTTAATTTGTTCTGGTGGAATACAGAGCCAAAAGTATTAAAATTGTGCCTGTGTCCCAATATATATATGGACCTAACTGGGCAGCACAGTGGCTAAATGGTTAGCACTTTCACCTGGCAGCACTAGAGTCGTTGGTTCGAATCCCAGCCACGGCACCACCTGCCTGGAGTGTGCATGTTCCCCCTGTGACTGCGTGGATTTCCTCCGGGTACTCCGGTTTCCTCCCACACTCCAAAGACATGCTGGAAGGTTAATTGGCTCCTGTCTAAAATTGACCCTAGTATGTGTATGTATGAATGTGGGTTAGGGACTTTAGATTGTACGCCCCTTGAGGGTTAGGGACTGATGTGAATGTACAATATATGTATGTAAAAGCGCTGCGTAAATTGACGGCGCTATACAAGTACCTGAAATAAATAATAAATGTATAATATTTGGGGTTCTAAATAACCACCTAGCAAAATAATTATGATTTTTGCATGTAGGAAAAAAATGTCAGATTGACCCAGTAGGGTAAGTGATTAAAATAAAAATCAAGCACATGAAGGCAAGAGCCAGGTTCTAACTAACTCAGTGTAGAGAGTTGGTACCCAAGAGATGTTTAGATGTCTGTATGAGATCTGAATTGTCTAATTGGCCAGGCTTCAGGCTACTGAGTACAGTAAACAGCAGGGAAATTGGGTTCCAACAATAGACGTTACTGTCAGAACATTTGAAAGTGGGTCGATGGAATTGCTACATACCAAGCAAACAGATTTTGGTTATAGTGGGTGCAAACCTCTCACATGAAATATGAAAAAAGCACATCCTTCTGTACTGTGTACTTGTCTCGCTTTCCAAAGCTTTGAGTGTCATTTCTCTCTGCTGCCTTGTTATTCCGTGAGCATGAGTCATTTCTGGCAGCTTTTCTGACACCAAATGTTAGGCTACATTCACACTGCTCTGCTGAAAAAGCACATCAAAAACACAAATGTGCGTTTTTCCCCACTAAATACAGCACTTTCCACAGTTGTATTTTTTCATTCATTTCAGCAGAGGGATGCGTTTTTTTTGGTGCGTTTTTTTTTTTTTTTTTTCTGAACAAACATGCACCAAAAATGCAGCAAACAGGATTTTTTTTTCACAGCAACTTAAGCACCGAAGGATTTAAAGGTATGCAGTTTTATTCTGTCTTTCTTTGCTTTTTTCAGCTGAAGACTGACCCCAAAAGCGGATCAGTGTGAAAGCAGCCTTAAAAAGGTGATGGAGTAGGCTGTAGCGCTCAGCCTGTGCTTCATATTCAAGCTTAGAGCTGTGAATCTGAAGACTTTAGATCTCTACCCCCTGCTCCTAGATCAAAGAAGAAATCTTTTCCTGTTTTTGCATTCAGAATGATCTCCAGAAGAAATGTATACAGAAACACAGCTACAACTTGTGTTAGGATTTGTTTCATCTGTGTATCACCTAATGCTGGTTACTTCAGAGGGTGTATCTATGTAGGTGTTTACTGCCACTATACCCATCTATATCTATGTACTTGTAAAAAAAAATAAACTCTACTCTCTGACCACTTGTAACTTAGTGGAAATTGTATTTGTTTTCAGGTTACAGTGCATAATCCAGAAAACCAGAGTTACTTAATTGCATATAAAGACTCCCAGCTCATAGTGTCTTCAGCAAAGTAAGTTTTTTAATTTTTTTTATGTTTGATGTTTTTTGTGTGTGTTTTTTTGATAAATCGTATTACAGCTTTTAAAGTGAACCTGTGCTTTTCCTATTTAGGGCAAAAACAGCAGTCTTAACCGCTTCCCACCCTGCCTATGGCTAGATGGAGGCCGGCAGAACACCCTGTCCCTGCTTTCAGGCATTCCCAGTTTGCATGCCCACAGGGCCGTGCAGCAGCGTGATCTGTCACCGTCTGCGTACCTCGGACACAGCCGATGACTGACAGATCTGAGTACCGGCCCCATTGCCGGTACCATGTGACATGTGACCTGCAGTAAACTTTCACAACAGGTCACATGACAGTTGTATACAATGGATAGCTTCCTGTCATGCCATCCATTGTATACAAGTGTGGCTAGCTGTGAATGGTCACAGCGATCACATGCGCAAGCTGGGCCAATCACAGCCCAGCTGTGTCATGTGATTAGCTTTGGCCAAATCACAGTTAAGAAAAAAAAAAAATCCTGAATGAATCAGTCATTCAGGTAATGCTTGCTTATAGTAGCAAAGTAATTCTTTGCTATAAGCAAATTTGTGTAAAAAAAAAAAAAAAATAGATCACTTCCCCAAAGTAGTACAATGTTACTATGGTAACATTATACTACTTTGGTCATAGTGAAATATGAAAAAAAAAATCTTAAAAATATAAAGAGAAAAAAAAAGTAATAAATTAAAAAAAAATTATAAATTTTTTTTCTTTTTTGTACTGTCACCAGTCAGTGTCCCTGATCACCACCATGCCAGTTATATGATGACACTGTACTGCACTAGTGACAGTATGTAACAAAAAAAAAAAAACAGTGAAAATCATTTTTTTATTCATTTCCGAAAAATTATGACTAAAAAATTACAACTTCAAAAAACTCGCCATGCCTGTTATTAAATACGTTGGACTGACTGCTTTGCAAAAAGGGGTCATTTGGGGGATATCTGTACTGTTCTGACATTCTTGGACCTCAAGAAATTAGATTGGCTGTCAGTACTTCAGGATTGATAAATATTCAGATATATCCCATGTGAACTCTCTAACTTTCCTACAGACTAAATAATAAATACTAATTTGGGTTATTTTCACCAAAGACGTAGTAGAATACATTTTGGCCTAAATTTATGAAGAACAATTATTTATTTGCAAACTTTTATAACCGAAACAAAGAAAAACGTGGGTTTTTTTTTCAAAATTTTTGGCCTTTTTATGTTAATTTAGCAACAAATAACTCCCGTGGCGATTAAATACCACCAAAAGAAAGCTCTAGTTTTGTGAAGAAAATGATAAAATTTTAGTTTTGGTACAATGTTGTATGACAGCACAATTGTCATTCAAAGTGTGAGAGCTGTGCTGAAACCTGAAAATTGGCCTGGGCAGGAAGGGGGTAAAAGTGCCCTGTATGGAAGTGGTTAATAACTACTGTATTACCCGACTTCATCTACCAATCACCTACCATAAAGAAAATGCTTCCTGGCTTTTATGTCCAAAGTGGCAATGCCCTGTGTAAACTCATATCATGACTTAGAGATTACCCAGAACTGGGTGCTATGTCCTTGTCCTCGTGCCGCAGCGCTAGGTTACAGTGCAGCCGGTCGTAAACCACCTACACTGTCGATATATTTTTTTTTTTTTTTTTTTTCTTATTTCAGCCAAGCAGGAGAGCAAAGGAAAGGTGAGTATATGAAGCTGGGGGAAGCATCAGTGAAGTGAACCTGTTGCATTGTCAAATATGACGGCACGGTTTCCATTAGGTATTTCAACACCTTCGCTTAGGTAGGCACTTGCATGACAATTTATGAAACTTATATCCAATTACATAGGCCTTGGCACTGCATATTTTTTGGGTTTTTTTTTTTGTAAATGAATAGAAGATGGTAGAATCAAACCGAAATGTGTATGGCCAGCTTCAGTGTGTATGACCGTTTTTTATATATGTATGTATATGTCTTTTGTAATTGTGTACAGAGCCCTTAGACACTGTGAGGAGTTCATTCAGAGGTATAACAGAGCTGAAGATACCATCTGCATTCCTAACAACGAAACACTCCCTCACCATAGTGCAAGCAGCCACGTGGGAAAAGCTGTGGAGGACTGTATGAGGGCAATCATTGGTGTGCTGCTCAATTTAACAAATGATAATGGTATGGGCATTTTTATATTGCTATTAGATCTGATGTTTTTTAAATGCTTTATCTTGTTTTTGTAAAAATAACTGGTACATTTACATATTTAAATACCTGGATCTGAATCCTTTCTAATAGTGACATTTTATTTGAAGGTGTAAATTACTTAAAGTTGTCACTAATCAGGATCATTTTAAGCAGCTCGGTATTTATTTTAGAGAAGAATTGCAAGCATACAGCTAAATATTAAGCTACCTTTGATTCACACACCTCTGCTGCAATACACGGTTATCTGGGTCAGCCTTAATGCTTCCTGGATCACCACCTTGCTCCTTGTAAATAATTTATGCTAATTGATTGCCTAGTAAGCAGCCTGGAGGTGAAAGGGTGACAAAAAATGCTACCTTGCTGAATTGGTAACAAAACAATGCTTTCCTGCCTGTGTAGCATATCAGATGTGAGTAAATCACTAGACCAGCTGAAGAGCATTACAAATCATAATTGTGCTGCATTCCATAAAAGATTATACAGTTTTATTTAATTTTGCCCATTGCTGACTGTTTAGCTTGAGTCAGGCATTTTAATAGACATCTGAAGAGAAGGGACTCATGCTAAGTCACCTGCCTGGCCTCACCCGTTGTCCCCCAGCTCCTGATTGTGCTGATTGTGCTTATGCACTGATGAGTCGACAGCCTTTTACTCCCTGATGCAAGCTAAGAGGTCAGGAAACACAAAAAAATCTGAATAATGATGCAAATAAAAATCTTTCATAAATAAGTAATGCACAACTATAATTAAAGAATGGATATTTTATTTAGAAATCTTTTAATACATATTGTAGTGGGGGTTTTTTTTTTTCTTGTTCAGGGTTTTTTTCTTTTTTTTTTTTTTGTTAGGCATACATGTATAAATTTAACAAGACGCTTCAGATAAGGGCTATAGCTAAACATTTGGAAATTTATCAGTGCACTAAAATGTACACCAACAGGTACAATAGAGCAAAAAAAGGAAAAAAGAGGCGTATCATCAGCCTTATAAGAAACTACATGTAAACAACTTATAGTATCATCTTCAACGATAATAGCCTTTTTGGTAATACTGATATGAAAACCAAAGGCATGAACACACACTATTCCAGTGAACGGGTTAGAGAATATCAGAAGAACAAGAGAGGCAGGGAAGAGGTTGGGAATTGGTAAGGAAAGAGGGGGGGGGGGGGGGCAGGGAAGGGATGGTCAGGGGAGGTCCGCATTTCTCTTATTTCTTCTTTGATGCCCCCAGATGACTTAGAGTTCGTTGGGAGAAAGTGAGAGACCCAGGGGTCTTGTACTTAGTGCAATTTCATCATATTTTCCTGCTATTTGGCCGTGAGGTTTTCACTGAACACCTACTACATGTAGGATTTAACATCAGATACAGATAGGGTGTTGGATATCCTAGCTTTCGCTATTGTCTGTTTCCCAGCTTTCAGTACATGGGACATCAAAATGTGTTGCTATTTGGGATTCCAGCGGTCTGAGGGCTAAGAAGTGCCATTCGCGGTCTGAGGGCTAAGAAGTGCTATTAGTGTCTGCAAAAGCTGATTTAGGATGTCATATACTTGGGTCCAGGAAGCGCATACTGTATGGGAAAATGTACCCTTGTCCAGGCAGCCAAGAAAACAGGTTGGGCAGTGTTTGGGTGAACCCGAGCCAGTCTGGTCCGTACCCCGTGCCACCTGAGAAGGACTTTGTACTTTGTCCCTAGGGCAACTGCGTTTTGGGAGCAACACTTGGTGGTATGCCAAATTTAAATCCAGTCCTCTGGTGCCATTTGCACTTCTAAGTTAATCTCCCATTTGTGCATGTAGGAGGGGAGATATGGGGAGAATTTAGAAGTGACAGTAATGTATAGGAGTACGATCATTCCCGGAGAGTGCAGGTCTTTTTAGGCATTTCGTTTTAAAGATGGTGAGGCTCAGTCTGTCTCCTTGTAGCTTTACTGTGAAAAAAAGTTAGTGTTTAATTTGTAAGTATCAAACACTCAAACGAAAGAAGGTGATGGGAGGCTTTGGAGCTCTGTGAAAGATTTTATACTGTTGGTGGGTATCGGAGTATGGAAGCAAGTCAATTTCACTGTGATCCAATGCTTGAAAGCCTGTAAAGGCAGGTTGAAAGACAGGTTAGTGTAGAAAGGGGACAGTATGGTAAATGTGGGATAACAATCCAACAGAGTACTTGAGGTCCTCCCAAATCTGCAGAGTGTGGTGAGAGAGGATTGGAGATCAAGGCTATATCTCATGAGTGGATGCAACCATAATAGGTTGTATATGCACTCCTCTGCTTCCAGGTGGACCTACATAGGGGGATTGTAGCTGGCATGGTATTTTAAGACATCTGCGCAGCCTGAAAATATCTCAAAGTTTGGGACAATTTCCGCAGCGTCAAGTCTGAAATACTATGTTTCGAGATTCAAGGTTTGTGAACATCAGCCATAGTAGAGGTAGGTTTCTGGACTGGCAAAGTAAGGCAAATAAGTCACTTTGACTGCCACAATGTGGCCCAGCCAAGAGAATGTATAGTCAGCCCGGGTACTCATAATTTGCCTTAAATTTAAAAGGAGTGTGGGATTGCTGTCCTCAAAGTGTTGGATAGAAGTTCAAGTTTATACCAAAGCTTGATGTCTACCCAGTGGTAAGGACTTTGTTAGGGTTAACTTGTAGGCCTAGCAAGTGTTGTTTGATGATTAATCCTGTGATATATTGACCAGTTCTTAATGAGTTGGTATAAGGATTAGATAGCAAATGCGAATAAAAGGTGTGATAGCGGGCACCCTTGTCTAGTGCCCCACAATATAGAAAACATGAGTGATCAGAAGCCTGAATGTTCAACGAAGGCTTGTGGTATGTACGTAGTGTATTTTTTAAATTAAGGTGCACATCTTGGTATTTTGGTCCCTGTACAAGTTTTAGCTCTTAAAATATAAAATGAATGAATGTTCTGACTTGTAATTACGTAGTCAGTTTAGATGTGTAGACTACTAGCTAGATGTGTAATGTAGTAGAAACTAAATAACCATGTTAGTTTTTGTAATTATATTAAATTCAGTTTGAGACGGTCAACATTCCAGCTGAAATTGTGCTATCTAACACAAGTTGTGGATTTTGTGGTCTTTATTGGGTTGTCCGTTCTCTTGCAGGAGCCCTGTATATGTCCTCAGACTTCATATATCTTTTTACACTTGACTATTAAAGTTTATTGCAGTGTGATTATTTACACTCTAGTGACCAATTTGACCATAGCGCAATTTAACATTTCTACTAAGTTTGAAATTAGCAAAGTTTATTTTCATGCTGAAGAAATGTAATGGGTTATTTATAATTTGTGAATAATTAAAATCTTGTACTAAAATGCCCAAACATTTGTTTTTGAGCATAGCTTGAATTTAACTGAAAAATAAACAAGTAATGTTGCGCTGCTATAAGGTAAATATAAATAAAAAGACAATGAGGACAAAACTGAATAAAACGTCCATATATATGAAATCAATACGTTTTCATAAAGTGATAAAGTTCTTCAACAATTCATGTGTTTTCTTCTTGTACTGATATCCCAAACACCATGAGGTGAAACAGTGTGCATTATACAAGTAGTGCCACCTCAGTGCTCACAAGAACTCTCACCTCCGAGCACATGAAAATGCACTTAATAAGTAGACAGAAGGATTCTTCACGTTTTCAATCCACAACCATGTGATCGTAATCGGACACCTTTGAACTTTCAATAGAATGCCAAACCAGAGCTAGGGATCGGGCCTTTAAAGGTTATGGAGGTCGCACATTTCTATCCTTTTAAAAAGGAACAAGGGACACCCCATGGTGCAGTATGTACTAGCATAAGTATTTATTAAGAAGCAGTAGTACATTCACATGTAGCAAATTTAATAAAACGCTGTAAGGATGTAAAATCATCAGATGCAAGCTGAGCTTCCTATCAGCTGAACTCACTATTCACATCTGCCCGGAGCCATGCCCCTTACGCATTACATCACGCCCACATGACTTCATCAGAGTGATGGTAGAGGGCAGATAGGAGAGTCCTTATGTAGTTTGTGTAGATTGATTATAGACAGTGACCATTCTGTTGAAGTTCGCGGTGGCTATTTTCCAATAGATATATGGCAAAGTGACGGCAGCCATTTTCTGGTGGCTCAGAATGTTAAAGTGGCCATTTTGCCTTGGACCAAAGTGTATTGTTTAGACCACAGTCATGGCAAATGAGAAAAGCAAGATGATTCAGCCAAGGTAATGTACACAACAGCGGTCATTGATAAGAGTATGTTCAATACATCGCAATGGTAATAATAGCTGTTGTGGACTTTAACTGATTTTACTATGTAGTCCATGGCATGGAAGCCTAAATGGCTCAATAACTAGAACGAATATGTGTACCTATAAAATCACTGTTTTCCTATTGTGCTATAGAAACATGACACACCTAAGGTAGTTGACAGCTTAACTTGTTGGAAAATCTCCTAATGTGCCTGTGTCTGCCTTTATTTTGAAGTAAAGCATTAGTACTACATATGTGCACCTGTTATTATCCTGTGAGGAGCTTGTCTAGTCCCAGTGCTGGAGCAAGTTGTTTGAGGACTGGCAGATATCTCATTCATTATCGTTCTAGATGAGATACAGTGTCTGGCCATCTGCTGCCAGTGTCACTGAAGAGCATAATTTTAAAATAATTGAGCTGGGGCCTAATTTTTTTTTCCTTTCGATGTACAGAGTGGGGAAGTACAAAGACAGGTGAACAGGACAATCTGATAAGCACTGCACTTAACTGCGTTCTTCAAGTTCCAAAGTTCCTACCTCAAGAACAGAGATTTGATATTAGAGTTTTGGTAAGTTCTCATTGAAGATGCTTTTTGTTTTGCTAATAATGAAGCGTTGGGACAGCTGTCTTTAGGTCAGTCTGTTAATTGCTTTGTATATAACTAGTTGTGCATCAAAGTTGACAAAGAAAATCTTCCTCAGTGTATTGTTAAATAATATTGCAGCATACTTAATACATTGTCCAGTCAGTTTATTTGCCTTTTGTCATCTTCAGGGATTGGGCCTACTGATTAATTTAGTTGAATATAGTGCAAGAAACCGGCATTGCCTTGTGAATATGCAAACAATACAATCATATGATTCGTTTTGTGAGGATGAAGAGGACACAGGGCAAGTCGATGCAGTCCATGCGTTGGTACAGGTAAGGTGTATAATACCCTCTGCGTCTCAGCTGAAATCTAAAATACCTCTGTTAATTGTAGGTTAAACTGTTTGGCTTACATTATTGCCCCTCCCCAGCAGCTTCCTTAGCGCGCTCTGATCAGTCATCAGAAGCAAAGTAAGAAAGTTGTGTGAAGGATTTGCTGAGGACTTTCCCTGCCTTCATGTATCTGTGCTGGGTGATTGGCAAATGTCAGACCTTTTACATTTAGCTAGTCGCATAGTTCTCCATACCCAGGAGTACTGGATATTCTTTTGTTCTGACAGCTGAACTCCGGAATGGGAGTAGTGCTGCTGATGAAGATAGCATTAAAGGAATCCTTTTGCTTAACCGGCCATACACTGCTTTTATTTTTTATCCTATTTATACATTACAGGACAGAGGCAGCTTATTCCTACACCATGGGTTACAGGCTTATACTATCGGGTGATTGGATAATGGCAAGCTTCTTAGTCCATGAGTCTTCAGTTTATTTGCCGCTGTCCATAGGTGAAGGACCTCTTCTCCTTTCCAGAGAAAACCTGCTTCACTAGTTTTATTTTTCTTGTTTTATCTAATGCCTACACTGAAACCGTGTATCCAGGTTTGGTGTAAAACCTTGAGAGCCGGACCCCACTTTGTGGTGACAGCCTGTAATGTTGCTTCGAACACAGGATTCTAAATGAGGCGCTCACCTTGGCACTCTGTGCAATGCCTTGAGTTAGTGCAGAGTACTATACAGGTCCAGGTCTGTGCTCCATCACTGTGGAACCCAGTACCTGAAGATTCTATCCTGGGTATGCCCTCTGTGATGGGGGAAGCCTGGACTTTATTTAGTTCAACACCATGAATAGGTAAAACGGGGTCACCTTATATCTGTGATTATTGCTGGGACTATGTATAGAATGTATACACTTTACACTGTAAACTTTTCAAACTTGGCACTAAACTTTAACCACTCAGAACTCCGTCTCCGGTAGATGACCAGATGCTGCATCACACTACAGGTCACATTCTTGAATGTCACTTCTAACTAGAGATAAGAGGCAGCAGAGGGTAAAAGTTGTCCGTTGCTACTCCATCAATCCTATCCCTTAGTACAGGGGCACCACTGGGATGTGTGATAAGGTCCTTTTTGTTTACTTTATATACTTATGATTGTACTCTAAAGAGGAAAACCCTCACCTGTAGCTATAGCGGAGACCAGGCAAAATGGAGCCAGCTTTAAACAGGTAAACATTCACTCTGTCCATACAAGACTCAAACTCGTAACGATGCACCCCTTTCACTTGAGAAAATAATTTTTTGCATCTGTGTCACAACTCTTTAGACAGATTACGGCCCTAATACAGCCATATTTGTCCAAAGCTCGGAAATGCCTCTGATCCTACTCAGACAACTGATATGCCAGTTATAGAGGGAACTGAATAAGAGGAGAATGAACAAGATGTTGAAGCAGTGGTGCTTCACACAAAATGCTTGCTAACGTTGAAAATCTTGTTGCCTTTTTCCACAAAAGCTTTGACTTTATAAAAGTGGACTCTCCTACCTCTCACCATGCCTGTTTGGGTACAAAGAAACCTACAAAAACTTGCAAAACTTGATGAACAAACTGGGCAGTCTAGAATGACTGGGCCACTCCTGAGAGGATTTTTACGCACCCAATAATCTTTGCAGTGGGTAAAATGCTTGCACAATACTGTACATTAGCCATTCCTTTGGGTTAACCTTGACAACTCTGTCCTAAACGAACATTGCACTGTACCTGTTGAACATGTTCTGCCTTTTAAGGATTCTGCTGACAAAATCTGAAATGCTCTTAATAACCCTTTAACCTGGCAAGCCCAGCCCTGCAACCAACTCTTGCTGCTATTTGTGTATGTCAAACTGCAGCTGACTGGAGTAGAGTAGGACGATGAATAACCAACATGACCCTGTCTTTCAGGAGCCTTTTGTTGCACAGCAATTATTTCTGCTCTTATTTGTTATATAAATGCCTTGAGACAAATATCCAAAATGGCTCTAATCTGCTTTCATATGTACAGGATCCTATGGCTAAAGGTTTGGAGAGCTTAAACTGCCTGTAAAAAGTGCCTCATGTGTATGGCTTTTCAAGAAAGACGTCTTTTTGATGAAGCATTTGACCAATTCATCAAACAGGGAAAGGTTTTGGGAAAGTTTTAAGTTGGAAAAAGGTGGGAAAGTGTTACTTCCTCAGTGGAAGGTAACTCCTTTCCCTTCCTCAGGAATTCCTAAATCCTCTATATGTAGAGGACCTTCACACTCCATCCAGGCTTCAACTTCAAAACCTACAATAAATTAATCTCTTCTTTTCAAATAAAAAAACAAATAAAGGAGCTGCCATCACCAGACTTATTAAATCCCAAATTTTATTGGGGTATTGTGGTTTTCAAATTTTTGGACTTTATTTAGAGGCTGATGGCAGCTCCTTTTAAAAGTATTTTATTTGAATACAGGTTTTTTGCTTTATTCTTCACGTTTTGAGGGTTGTTTGTGTGGGTGTAATTATATCAATTTGTTCATTCCTTCTTTTGGGCACAAGGCATACTTCAACTCTTGCGTGTGAGGATGTCTGTTGCAGTTTGCATCTCTCTGGGTCCCAGACCTGTGGATTCAATCAGTTATTTCAAAGGGTTATAAAATGGAGTTCTAAACTCTACTGCCTCACTGTTGTTTTTTTTTTTTTTCTTTTTCTTCAAATGAAACAAAAACTGATCACGGCCAGTCAGATTTTGCAAAGCCATGAACTACCTCCTTGTCCCAGGGTGTTGTCATACCATTACTGCCACAGGTTGGACTCAAAGGTTTCTGCTCAAACTTTTTCTCAGTACCCAAGCCCAATTGGGTAATCTGTCCTATCCTGTATTTAAACAACAACTTCCTTCAGATACTAAAATTTTGTATGAAGGTCAGTAACTGCCTCTCTGAGACCAGGAGAACGCATGGTATGTGTGGATATCCAAGATGTCTGTCTACATGTTCCAGTTTACCCACCTCATCAGCGATTTGTAGGCTTTGCAGTTGCAGTCAATCACTTCTGGTTCATGGCATTGCTTTTTTGACCTGTCCTCTGCTACCAGGGTGTTTACAAAGAACATAGCACCCTTGCTGCCTTTTGACTGAGTGAACAACAAATCTGCTTTACAGCCTTCCCCATACCTAAAGTACTTGGGTCTAATTCTGGATACATCTCAGGGAAAGCTCTCAAAGAGCTCATGCTCTTTAACTGAGATAAAAAAAAAATCCCACAGTGAGATATGCCATAAGAGTTCTTAATATAATGGTGGCCTCCTGCGAGTGAGGTAATTCCCTTTGCTCAGTTCCACTCAAGATCTCTCCAACTGAACATTCTGTCAGCATGGAAAATGCAGACTTTTTTTCCTGGATCTACCTAGATAAGGTGAGAAAATCTTAAAGGGGTAGTAAACTTTTTAAACAAAAGAAACTTTCTCCCTGCAAGGTAAAGGCATAATGTGCTAGTTAGTATCTATTGCATTGTGAAAGACTTACCTTGAAATGACGCCCTTCAGCGGCATGCTGTCATTGCTGCAGAGGCCTCTATCTTCATCTGGTCTTCCTTCAGGGTTCTCTGGTTGCTGTCATTTGAATGGCCAAACCACATGCACGCAGGAGTCACAGCCACAACACAGCTCTCTGAAGCAATGGCACAGGTATGCCATTCCTTCAGAGCACATGCATCTGTGATGTCACTGGCTGCCAACCAGTTGAATATCTTCTAAAGGGTGCATGTTTAGTATAAGCTTACATATATGTAAAAATCAAAATCCAGAGTTTAGTGCCACTTTAACTTTCATGTATTTGTAAAATTCTTACAATAAACAAGGTTTCAGAGTCTGTTGTGGCTGGAGAGGAGTTTTTCAATCCTCGGTGAGTCACTGAACATGGTCAAGAGAAGAAGCCAAACCCCCCATCAACATCTTGGAGCTCTGGGCTGGGAACTTGTTTCTCCAGCACTATACTCCTCTTCCAAAGGGAAACGCAATTCAGGAGCATTGAGGAACCTGGCTGCTATGAAGGAAATAAACCAGTCTAATGGACAAAGTCACTGGCTAGCGATTTCTGCACTCAGCATCTCTGCATTGCCAGATGGATTTTCTCAGCCACCTCTGCGTGGACCAAAGGGAATGGTCTCTTCATGTGGACATCCTAGTCAACAGATACAACAGCAAGCTACTTCCTGTTTGTTGCCAGGAATGGGGATCTTCTAGCTCTAGCCTTGGATGCTCTGGTCATCCCCTGGTCTCAAGCTAATCTGTTCCTTTCCTCCACTAAATATTCCATCTCGCCTGCTCCAAAAAAAATTGAGGAGGATGGCGATTCTACTGGCATCGTATCGGCCCAGAAGAACCAGGTACACAGACAAACTCAGACTTGCAGATGATCCCTGGCCTCCACATAACAGGCCAAGTCTGCAATCTTAAGGCATCACACCCTGCTTCAGTCTCTGGCTTTAACAGCATGGCTGTTGAAATACAGGTCTGAAAGGATAGAGGGATTTCTGAGTAATTTCAACCTGCAGGAAAGTGTACTATTGTATCTGGAAATATTATTTGCCTGGTGTGAGTGCAGTTGGTTCAGTCCCAGAGATTACTCTGTACAGTTAGAATGCCAGAATGTACAAACATATCTAGCTTAGCACCCTGAAAGGGCAAGTATTAACTTTTCCATCCTTTTTTAAAGGCTTTTGGCTTTGCATTTCCTTGTAGAAACCTTTAATCAAGGTGTTTTTTTCAGGCCCCCTTTGCAATACCATATACATCCTTGGGACCATTATTTTGGTTTTCCCTGTAAAAAACCTTTTCTCATGTTGCATTACCCCCAGGACAATCCATTCTTCCAAAGGTGGTTTCAGAGTTCCATCTCAATGAGGACATTGTCCTGCCTTGTGCCCTGCTCCTAAGCATCCAAAGAAATTCTCTCTAGATTGCCTGGACATAGTTGGACCCATGAGAGTGTACAGAAAGCTGCTGCTTCCATTAGTTAAAAGGATTCAGTTTGTTCTTTTCTCTGGGTACCATTTTCAAAATCCACAGTTGCACATGTTTGATAAGGAACTTGATTGCAAGAGGCTATGCTCTTTAAACAAAAACTTCCTCCTGTGCTTGTTTTGCCCCCATGCCATCGGATCTGTTGAGTGTCTTTGGCCTTAACACAAGCCTTTGTTGTTCAGCTCTGGTTTTCTGTTCATACTTTTCAACATTTTACAAGGTGGATGCCCAATGTTCTGCGAATGCTGCTTTCAGCTGCATGGTTCTCTTGCAGCAGTCTGAACTTGGGTCTTTAACCCCTGTTGTTTTGCACCTGTTAGCACAATTTTGTCTGCCTAGTTGTTGCTCAACTTTGTATTTATTTGTTGTTGGCATTCCATGTTGTATGAATGAGTTGCGTGTATCTTGTACTGTACAGTTAAGATCAGAGAAATTTAGACTTGCCTTTTAGATTCCATTTCCGTCTTGGAGTACAGTCCGGGCTACAATACCTAAACTCATTAACTCCAACCCCCCCTCCCCAACCTACAACATGTAGATTCTTATAGTAGAGCAGGGTTTTAGGTGAGGTGCTCCAGGGGAGCCTATCCTCAAAAGCTTGCCAGTGTCCAGCCACCTGAAGGTATGAGCCTATAAACTATGGTGTATGAATAAGTTGCCTGTGTCCTGTATTGTACTCCAAAATATTTTGAGTGCAGTCAAAGTTGCCATGTTTTATTCAGATCCTTTCAGATTCCTGCATCTACAAATACGGTGTTGATGAACCTCCCCCTGTGAAACATCGAAGCGCAGTGGAGTTTATGGGGTCACTTTTTTTTTGGCACTGAGTAATAGAAATAGACCATAGTTTAAACAACTCTCTTTGAAGTGAATCAAAAAGCTGATTGAATTGATATTGAATTTTGTGTAGGTGCAGCTTGTATGGTACAGTACATATGATGATTTAACTAATGAGGTTCACCAAAATATGAGAGGTATTGAAATACAAAAATCCTTTTTTTTTTGTTTTTTGGTTTTTTTTTTTAGCTTTTCCTTGAGCGGGAAAAAGCAGCCCAGTTAGCGGAAAGTCAGACAGATGAGTTAATTAAAGAGGTTCCTACAGCGCAACAAGACAAGAGTGGGGAATGGCAAGAGACTGGAGGTGAGATCCAGTGGGTTTCAACTGAAAAGAGTCCTAATCCTGAAGAGCCAGAAAAGAAAGAAGAGGAAGATGAAGAACTTGACCTTACTAAAGGTATGTCTTTTTTATTATATTATACTGTCACGTGATGTTATATATTAATTTAGTTACTCATAATCTTTTTTTTTTTTTTTTTTTTTTTTTTTACCTCCTCCTACCAAGTATAGTTTGCCTCAAAGTGGATAGATACTGTAATTACTTTTTTGTTCGGCAAAAGTAGACATTTTAGAGATTCTGCTCTAAAAGGGAACTCGGTCACAATGTGACTGATTTTACCAGTGCTTGCTATTAATATTTGAAAATTTGTAAGTGTTGGGTCTAGAAGCAGGTGATAATACGTGCGTGTATTGTTTATTTTTAAGTTAATCACATCTAAGCCATTTAAGATGGTGCTTTCACAGGTTTACTTGCTGCTTGTTCTTTTTTTTGGTAATTGTGTTTTGTATGAAGGTTTATTAGTGTGTTGTCTTTTTCTGGCTATCCTAATAAATATATTTTTGTGCAGCCTTAATACTCAGCGATGGCTATATGTTTTTGTTTCATTGTTTTTTATATTTTGTCACTCCAAGGGTGGCAACACAGAACTTGAAATACGATTGTCTCTTATCTACTTTGTCTACAGCAGATGAAGCATTTAGGGTGGCAACACAGAACTTGAAATACGATTGTCTCTTATCTACCTTTGTCTACAGCGGATGAAGCATTTAGGGAAAATATCAGCAACTTTGGTTAAAGCTTTTCAGTTTGGTTTTCTCTTGTTCAGCCTACGAGCTATACTAGAGAAAATCAATCCATTCCTCCATCCACTCTAAACCCCATGGATGGAGGCATCTCCACTGCTGGCTCTTGTGTTCAGCAGCTGCATGAACTCAGTGGTGCTGCCGAACAGTGACTACATCTGATAGGATGCAATCACTGTTTGGCTGATAGCTTTTTTCACCCAGCTCAGTCGATTTTTAAATGAACTTACCTTAATTGTACAGTGCAGGAAACAGTTTTTTGCTAGTGTCCTTTTGCTGATGGATATGTTCCTTCTAGAGAATTTTTCTTTTTTTGATCTTTAAACCAATCAAATTTTCTGTCAAGATCTGACTGCGTACTGAGCTAGGCTATCTAGCAGTCCTCAAATTGGTTACCCTCTGTGTTTACTTTGGGAACCGGACCCCTTTTTGTCAGGCTGGCCTGCAGTGTTTTCTTCAGTCACTGCATCCTTCATTAGTCTTTCACCTTGGTGCGTAAGGTTATGTGTGTAGTTAGCCATGAGGTGTTACAGTTTGAGGGCAGTGGTCCATCTCTATGCTTTCTAGACCCTGAAGACCTCTTTGGAGGTATGTCCACCATGACAGGTGAAACCGGACCCTTAGTAAGCCAAACACCCTGGATAAGCTAAGACCGGGTTCCCCCCTGATTATACCAGTTACTGGATTTAACTTTGAAAAATTTCTGCAGTTTAGAAACCTTAAAATTATTATAAAGGCTCAAGGTTTTTTTACTTTCATGCATTCTTTTGCAAGCAAGCTGCTTACAATGGGGACACTCGGCAAGAGGGAGGGTCCAGGAGCACTTGCAGGGGACCAGAGAAGGGGAGGATCAGGGCTGCTCAGTGCAAAACCACTGCACAGAGCAGTTAAGTAGAACATGTTTATTTAAAACATTAAGATATCTTTTAATATCACTTTAAGCTGTCAGAGGTTCAGGATTCAGAAGTGGAACTTTCTTTTTTTGAGGATATTGTGGAAGTACAGTGTTGAGGACTCCATTTTTGTGGCAGAGGCATTTACGGGGTACAATCTGGTTTGATGCCAAATGCTGTTTTCTCTGAACACACTAATTGTCACAGTACACACTAGTCTTTCCCTAGCAGCACCTGAATCTCTACAGCTTAAGCAAGCCCCTATGTGCACAAAAACACTTTCTAAGTCCAGAAAGGCTTTTCCAATACACACACAAATCAATTTGTACACTTTGAGGACTGGCCCAATCCTGAAAGGTTTTTTCGCCTCTCCTAAGCTTTTTGGTGAAATTTATCCTAATCTTCTTCTTATCCAAGTCTTTACCAGACTGTTTCACCCCATTCCTGTCCAGGCCATTTTTCAGTTTTCTGTGCTGTCACACTTCAAATAACAATTACTCCAGTCCTGCAGCACTATACCCAATGAATTTTGCATCATTCTTTTGAGACAGATTGCGCTTTCTTTTGCTGCTGTTTAACCATTACTGGGATTTTTATTTCTTGCTATATAAATGAAAAAAGGACTGACCATTTTGAAGAAAAACGCATTTCTTAGTTTCGTTTATAACATTTGCAAATCTATCTTCATACATTTAGGCCAAAATGTGATTTGCTGCATTTCTTGAGATTTCTTGGTGGAAAAAAAATTGGGTATATATTAACTTTCACTTTCAGAAACTAGGGTATGTTTATTTAAAAATCCTGATGTTCTGACTGCCTAACTCATTTCTTGAGCACCTGAAATGCAAAGTCAGTACAGATATCCCCTAAGTGACCCCTTTTTGGAAAGTAGACAATTTGAGTATTTAGTAAGAGGCATGGTGAGTTATTTGAAGTTACAAATCTTTTCCAAAATTCTTTGGGAAATTATGAGATTGAAATCAAATTTTTTCCCACAAAGTTCAAATTTTACCAAGTTAAATCTAACACACAGCAGAGGCATGCTTACATTTACACCCACAACATATTCTGGTACTCTTCCTAATTATAGCAATACCACGTGTGAGACTTTTTCACAGTCTAGCTACATAAAGACACCCAAAAACCAAAGCGAACCTTAAGGCTTTCTAGGGGCATACATTTTGCACCTATTATTATTTTTTGTTTTTTTTACAAAGTTGGTAATAAGATATTGCTGACACACGTCGTAGGCATACTTATAATTACACCCCAAAACAATTTCTTCTACTCCTCCCAAGAAAGGGGAAACCACATGTGTAAAGACCTCCTTTTTTTTTTTATGGAGATGAGGCAGACTTGTTCCTCCTTTTTACATGGTAGGCGGATTAAGAATCCGTTACAGCATCTGGGGCGTTTGTGTTCCCAGATAAATTGAGAGAATTGTTTGTGTGCGATATTGAAAAAGCTTATTGATACTGGTATGCGGAGAGTCCTGTGCATATATAGTAGTTTGGGTAGTATGAACATTGTTGGGGCGGATACCCGTCCTAGTTTAGATAGGTTGTATGTGTGAAGAGCTGAGATCTCTTTAGGGAGATTTTGGAGGAACCGTTTATGGTTGTAGTTATAGATTTGTGTTGTGGAGGGTGTTAGGTTAATACCCAGGTATGGAAGAGAATGTTCGGCCTATATGTAGGGAAATTTGTTTTGAGGAGCTGTTGAAGTTGTTTGGGTGTATGTAGGTTTAAGTTTAAGGATTTGTGTTTTGTTTAGTTTGTAGTAAGAGATTGCTGCATAGGAATTTAGTATTTCTTTTATTCTGTGGAGAGATTTAAGTGGATTAATGATCATTAGGATTATGTCATCTGCGAATAGGCTTATTTTGTGATCAGTGCCATGTACTTGTATAACCTGTTATCATTGGGTCTTGTCTAATTTTAGCTGCTAGAGGTTCTGTTAGGAGTGCAAAGATTATTGGGGATAGGGGGCAACCTTGTCTTGTGCCATTCGATATGTCGAATGGATGTGATAGTATTCCGTCTGTTAATACTTTAGCCAAAGGAGATGAGTATAAAGATAAAATTGCTGAGTGTAACCAGCCTGTGATTCCAAATTTTTGTAGGACTGATTTCATGAATCCCCAGTGGATTCGGTCAAATGCTTTTTCTGCATAAAGTGAGAATAGTATTGAGGGTGTGCGGTGTGTCTGGAGGTTGGTTATCAATGATATTAAGCACCTAGTGGCATCTGGGGCTTGTCGTCCCGGTTTAAAACCTACTTGGTCCGGGTGTACTAAAGAGGGGAGAAGGGAAAGCGGTCTGCAAGCTATTAATTTCGCAAATAGTTTGATGTCCGTATTTATAAGCGATATGGGTCTATAACTTTGTACTTTTTGGCGATCTTTTCCCGGTTTGGGAATGGTTGTTATTGTGGTTAGTAACATGTCTTTAGGTATGGTACCTGTGGATGCTATTGTATTAAAGAGATTGGCGAGATGTGGAGAGAGAGTATTGGCAAATTGTTTGTAATATTCGTTCGTGTATCCGTCACTTCCTGGAGATTTGTGAAGTGGCAATGACCTAATGACTGATTCAATTTCTTTAGTGTTGAAGAGTTATTTTGCAATTGTTCTGTAGAGAGGGTTGGAAGTTTAATCAATCGCAAGAATGTGTTTATCTCAGGTGGTGAGGGTTGGGGGGGTCTCCTTGTCGTCTTTGAGGTTGTAGAGGGTTTCATAAAAGTCTGCAAATGCATTTGCTATGTCTAGTGGATTACTTAATGGTTCATTGGAACATAGGTGTTGGATTGTTTGGATTTTAGATTTGATGCATTGGCATTTCACTGTTATAGCAAGGAGGGAGCTTGCCTTGTTATGTAGAGAGTAGTATTTTCTTTAAGTTTAGTTCATATTGGAATAGAAGGAGGGATCTGAGTTTTTCCCTTTCTTTTAAGAGGGCAGAGGAGTTCTGTTGTGCGGGATTTTTTTTTGTTGGTTTCCGCTTTAGATTTTATAGAGGTGAGGATCTCCTCTATCTGATGTTTCCTACGTGTTGCATTCTGGTAGGATATCTGGATAAGAATTCCTCTCATAAAAGCTTTATAAGTGGACCACAGGGTACTTATAGTTACTTCAGGAGTATTATTGGTTTTTAAAAAAAGAGTATGAGCATCTATAATCTTTTTTTCTTGTGGGCTGGGTCTGTCACTAGCATAGTTTTTAACTTCCAAGGTCTAGGAATGTTCAGTTTATTGTTTGTAGACAGTTCAATAGTGTTTGGCGCGTGGTCAGACCAGGATTTAGTGCCTATTGAGGATGAGGAGATACGTTGTAGTGTCCACTTGTCTGTGAGGAAAAGGTCTATCCTGGAGTATGAGAGCTGGGAGGGTGAAAAGTAGTCCTTTTTGGAGCCATGTTGGCATCTCCATATGTCGTATAATTCATTCTTGTGGAGAAATTTGTTTAGAAAAAATTTTGAGGTGGAAGGTCGGCGTCTTAGATATTGTGAAGTGTGTCTCTTGTATAAAAATTATGTCAGTTTGAAGGGTGGCTAATTCTTTATTAAGGAAGACCTTTTTAAAGGGAGAGTTGAGTCCTCTGACATTCAGTGAGGCTATTTTAATCATCTTGAGATAGTGGTCTGGTTAGGTGGTTCCGAGGTGGATTATATCTTTGCATTGTAGATAAGTGGGTAGATATGGAGTTTGAAGAGGTTTGAGCGATTTTGTTTAAGGTTTGTGGATATATCTTGTATCCGCATAAAGATTTCAAGATTGGAGAGTTGGTATTTAAGTATTGGTCTTCCGAAGGTATTTGCCAGGAAGGTGTAGGATGGTGATGGAATATATATGACTGGCAGGGGGTATTGAGAAAAACTCTAGGTAAAAAAAGCTTGCTAACAATGCCAGAAACATGGGTAGTCGACTTCGGTACATCGGTAGTTTTGATCGGGACTCTGACTTGCTGGGAGATGCGTTCAGGTCCAGTCACCCTCCATTTGGTGGGCCTGATTACGATAATTTCTGTGATCTTCGACTGGGATTATATTCCATTCCTTGAGTAGGTTTAGGCTGTCATCTAGATTTTTAACAGTGAGTGATCTGCCATGGTGCTTGATTATGAGTTTGGTTGGGAAGCCCCATTGATAGCTTATGTCGTTATTTCTGAGGGCTTTGGTGATCGAGATTTTTTTTTCCTGTTGAGGAGGGTTTCTTTGGAGAGGTCTGTGTATAGTTTAATTCCTGTATGGGATGCAGGGGGTGCTGCGGGGTTTCTGGCAGCCGCCATTATTTTTTCTTTTATGTGGTAGAAGTGTACTCTGATTAGTACATCTCTTGAAGTGGCTGCTGGTAAAAATGAGTGTTTAGGTATTTTGTGCGCTCTGTCGACTGCAATTTCAATCGTGTTGATTGTAGGTAAAAGATGTTTGATCAGTTGATGAATATATGGTAGAAGGGCCTCATTGGTGATTGATTCAGGGATTCCACGTATATTTATATTCTTTCTTCTAGAGCGATCTTCCAGATCCGCTATTTTATTTTTCAGTTGGAGGATTTCAGATTGGTGATCTGTATGTGCATTGACTACCGTATTGTGGGCTGTGAATATTGCTTCCGTTTTGTTTTCAGTATGGTGTGTATGTTTTGAGTGATCCGCTATGTCGTTTGATATAGGAGATATTACATTCGATATGTCACTGTGTAAAGTTGGCCTTAGTGATAGCAACATGTTTTTCATCGCCAGTTCTGACACTGGTTGGTCTGAAGCCGGAAATTCCTCTATTGCGGATTGCAATTGTAATGTAGGAATAGGAATGTTTTCTGAGGTATTAGGATCTGAATTTACAGGGCCTTCTATTCTTGGTCTAGATTTGGCAGGACTTCTATATGTGGGCGATAGAGGAGGAGAGGACTCACCTGGATCTCCATCATACAGTGGGACCAGGAGCCTGGGGTTCCGGAGTGTAGATGTGTGTGGCACATTCAGATATGGAGCTTCTGTGCTGTGAGGAGCCAGCGCCATCTTGGCTCCTTGCATCCAGGGCCGGATAGAAGTCCATGGACCGCTGGGGGTGAGTGGGGGACTTTCTCCTTCTGGGCATGATGTCGGGAATATTGTCAGAGTCCCTTCAGTCGGGTTTGCTACTCGCTGCTGTAGCAGTGAGGCAGCTGAGCTGTATTAGCGAGCGGCCATCTTAGATGCTGGCCGCGCATGCGCCTAAGATAATTTTAACTTGCCTGTAAATTCCTTACCTTGGAGTATAGTACTGGACACAGGACCCTCTGCTCTGTCTCTCTTATTATTCCTTGCCTGCTTAAGGAAAAAAAAAAAGTCAGGGTTATAGTCCTGTACTGTACTCCAGGATAGGGAACATACATTTTGTATGGCTCAAATCACATTTGCACCAAAAAGGTGCAGGACCCTTTTTTAAATTTACACCTGAATCGCATCGCATGGGTGAAAAGATTTCTGGCAATCATATCCAGTTTTGCGATCTGTTTAAGGATGTCATTGATTTATCATTGACACCCTCACCAGATCACGTGATTGCAATGTAGTACAGGATTAGCAGTGTTACCAGCACCGCATTGGTTTGAACCCAGGCTGAGAGAGTCTGTTGAAAGCACTGAGTTTATCTCACAATCTTGGTGAAGTTTAAGCCCCACCCTAACAGAGGCAAGTCCCTTATCACTGAGAAAGTTCCCTATCACTGAGAAATAACCAGAGATGCCAGACTTTTAGGCTGGTGAGGAGTGTTCCGGTCCCTCACAGTCGAGTGTTCAAGGTGGTATCCGTCTTTCACCTCAGTGAGGACATAGTCCTACCACCCCTATGCCCTGCTACAAAGCATTCTTAAGAAATCTATCTTCATTGTCTAGATGTAGTTACAGCCAATTAGAGCTACAGCTTTAATCAGACTGACGCATTCTCTTCAAAACCTTGCAAGGAACATCCTGCTTTCAAGTACACCATCATGACTTGTAGAAGAAATCTGATCAGTAGAGCTTACACTCTCAAGGACAGATCTTTCTGCACTTGTGTACCCATTCCACTGTATTGGTGGGCGTATACTGGACATTTCTTCAACAGGGTTCTGTAACTCATCTCTGTAAGGCCTCTACCTGGTCCTCTGTTACTACATTTTCAAAGTTCTACCAGGTGGACGTCCAGTCTTCTGCTGATGCAGCTCTAGGCTGCAAGATTCTTGAGGCAGCACTCTGAAGTTGGATGTCCTGACCGATGTTGTTTTGGACTTGTTGGCACAGTTCTGTTTGCTTAGTTGTTGCCCACCCTTCTCATTTATTTGGGGACAAGTTCTCTGAATACTTTGACTGTGTCATGTAGTAAGACATGTACTGTACAATTTAAGATGACAGGAATTTTAACTGACTTTTAAATGCTTTTAATACCAGAAAATTATGATGTAAAGTGTTTAATGTTTAGAAGTTGCTCAGCAAAGGACAACCCTGTAGCATATTATAATGAAGGGATTTTGCTAAAGTTTACTTTGTATCGTACAAGAAACAGTGTTGCCAATAGATTATTTTATTTAAATGTGGATTGCCTGGCTTCCATGTTCACTGCATTGATAAAATGTATGTTGCTGTGTTTATTTTTTAGCTCTCCAGCATGCTGGGAAGCACATGGAAGATTGCATTGTTGCCTCCTACACAGCTTTGCTTCTAGGATGTCTTTGCCAGGAGAGTCCAGTAAGTAGAATTTAAAATATGAATGATAATGTTAATGTACTTGTAGGGGAAAAAAAATACTGTGTCCTATGGAAATGTTTCAAATTGCTGTGTACTTCAGAATGCTCTTGGCTGAAATTTCATGACTCATTCAACTACTTAAGGATGATTTGGTTCTTTTATCCTAAGTGCCTGATCTAGTCCTGAATTATGTTTAAAACATTTTAAGCTGAACTGTAGGCTGATATGAAACACAAATTGATGCAGCTATGTATTCGTTAATCAATTCATTCATTAAAGTACCCAAGCCTAACTTGGGTGTAATCTTTTACAATCCCTTATACAGCAGCATTCAGAATGGGAAAGGGGTGGGCAAGACTGGAAGTCCATTAGGTGTGCTACATGCAAACGTGTTGGAAAAAAATGATAGGATTGAGCAGAGGGCTGTTAACCACAGTCAGTAGGCTGGGAGTAAGAAGAGGCATCACCCAGCTGGCAAAGCTGCTATGTCATTGGACTGAGTTTTATAAATACAAACGGATACCATATACATATTTTATCTTGGTATTTAGTAGTCAGCCTCTAGTTCTTCTTTAAAATGTCTCTAAACTCATAAACATGAATGTTTTTTCCCCATTTAGTAGTTTTCAGGACACATGCTTCCTTAACCCTTTTACTTCCAGTGCCGTATGTCCCCCCCCCCCCCACACACACACACACACACACACCCACACACCCCCCACACCCACACACCCCCCCACACCCACCCACCCACACCCCCACCCACACACACACACACACACATCCCTATGTGCATGGTCAGCTGGAACCTTTACCTTATGTAACTGTGTTAATAGCTTAGTGGTTACTATTGTCTGTCTAGGTTGAGCCTTCTCTCTATACACCTGCACAAACCATTCTCTGGGTTAACTGCTAGTTAACTGAGCTCCTTTGCAAGAATTGCCTTGAGTGGTTACCCTTTTAAAGTTGATCTCCTGTTTGGTCCCTCCTGGTATAAATCTATAAAGGAGACAACTGGGTTTGGAGTATTCTTACCCCAGCTAGAAAGGTCTTGCCCTTCTACAAGTACTGTAGGTTTGCTGCTTCCAGGGTTAAGAAGGGTTCCTTTGCACCCTCTGTCTTCCAGTGTTAAGTCTGTCTAGAACAAGAACATACTCCCAAAACTACTCAGAAAAAAAGAGTATTGGAACCACTTTGAGTACTTATTAAAAACACAAGGAGATGGGAAGCATGGGACTCCTAAAATGTATAAGATACTCACAGGTTTAAGTGAGGCCACTATATATAGAAAAATGGGAGAGGGATTTAGGAGTAATGCTGAAAAAAAAAACAAGAGAAAATCTATAGTTTAATTCACGGAAGTGTAAATATGAAGGAGGTAGAAATGAACTATACATTTTTGATAAGATGGTACATCACACCAAGTGTTGCACATAGGATAAGTGAAAATAATTCACATTTATGTTGGCGGGGATGTGGAAATAGTGGCACAATGTTTCACCTGTGGTGGGAGTGTCATAAAATACAAGAGTACTGGGGAGGTATAGTACATTTAATACAGGAAATAACGGAGGTCAATATTTCAAAGGAACCAGAGATTTGTCTTTTTTATGGTTCTGAGCTCTCAGTAAAAAAAATATAAAAAAATCGGATTAGTGTAATATTTGAATGGCGCACAGGGTTTGATACCCAAAATTTGGAAGTAACAACAAGCACCGGGAGTAAAGGATTGGATAGAAAGGGTGGAGAGGACTTACAAATTGGAAGAACTCTACCACATGGAGGAAGATAGGATGGAGATTTTCTGTAAAAGATGGGAAATGTGGGAAGATTTTAAAATATCAAATTCATACCTGGAATACATGTACTAAGGAAAAGAAGTCATGGAGGATAAATATAACATTAAATTAAAAAAAAAAGTAATCTTTTAGGATAAATAGAACGAGTAGGAAAGAAATCTATCAGGGCTGTAGGGGAGGGCTTAAAGGCTGGTTAGGAGGGAGGGGAAGGGAGCGGGGAAAAAAGGATACCAGGAGTAATGTCAATGTTTTGATATATTGTTGGATAAATATGAGTATCATAGATGGTGGTTTTGATAGCTTTTGTATATGGAAAATGGTATTTTGAAAATCTATAATAAAAGAACATACGTTCAGAAGACATGGTCTTCACAGTGGTGGGATGCCTCCAGGTCTAAAATGCCTGATGTTTTTTTTTAGAGTTTCTGGTCCCAGAACACCTTGCCTCCCTTCTTCTGGGGCGGTTTCCTTGCCTCCATAGATATCAAGAATGCCTGTCCGCATATTCCCATTTTTCCACCTTTGTAACTCTATTTGTGCTTTGCGGTGAGTGATCTGAATTACCATTTTGTTGCTATTTGTGCTTTGCAGTGAGTGATCTGAATTACCATTTTGTTGCTTTACACTTTGGCGTATTTGCAGCTCCCAGAGTTTTCACCAAGTTGCTTGCCCTGGTTTGGCTTTGCTCCATTCTCAGGGAATCCATATTGTGGGGTACCTCGACGATCCTCCTGTTAGTCTCAGAAGTAATTTCTTTGGCCAGAACCTTTCTGCCTCATGACAACCTTCTATCCCTTTTTTCTCATGTTAGTGCTTTTCAATCTCTGAGGACCTCAATTCATGCATCCATGAGCGTCTTGAGTCTCTTGGTGGCCTCCTTTTGAGGCAGTGCCATATGTCCAGTTTCATCCAGACCATTGCATCATTCTGGCCACATGGGAAAATAATCAACTCTCTCCTTGAAATAGCTGATGCACTTGAATCCCAAAGCCAGACTCTCACTGATGTGTTAGATTTCCAATCCAGCACTGGAGTTAGGGGAACTCTTTCCTCCACATTTCATAGAAGGTTCCCACAATGCATGTCAGCCTGGTAAGCTTTGGGAGCAGTCCTGAATGCTCTTTCATTACAAAGTTATGAAGTCTCTCTCTGTATCTCTGAGCTGACAACCCTTTCTTCTAAAGAGTCTTTTCTTGTACTGAACAGGTACAGGGTGATTTGAGATAAAGACATTCTTTCCTGCCCAAGGTGGTCTCTTCTTTTCACCTCAGAGAATATTTTCCTTGGTTCTTTTTGTCCTGTTTCAAAGCACACCAAGAAACAATTGAGTACTGTCCGTGATACTTTTTTTTATTTGCACTAACATACAATTTTGAGGACAAGCTTTTGGGGTATGTCCCCTTCTTCAAGGTCTAAGCAGTATTATTACAAATCACAAAGCACACCAAGGAAATTTCCTTGCACTGTTGGAATGTTGTAAGGGATGTCAATGTCTACCTTCTATTCATGGCTTTTGTTCCCCCTTTTGTCTTACTTAAGGGCTGTCATAGAGTCCATCTTGCTTCCTGCTCCACTATTTTCCAGGTGGATCAGCCAACTTCTTTCTTGGACCTAGGCCCTTAAGGAAAAGGTCCCTCTTTTACCTATTAAAACTCCGTTTACCAGGACTTTTGCAGTCTCTTGGACCTTTTAGGGTCAAGCATATGTATCCCAGATTTTCAGTTTTACCACCTGATCTTCTCTTTGCATATTCTTCCAGGTTTTACCTGGTGGATGTTCAGGAGCTTCAAGCTGTCATCTGATTGTGTGTGGTTGGTTCTTTTTTTTTTTTTTTTCCCCCCTCATTTTTATGGGCAGTTCTTTACAGCAAGTCAAAAATCCTATTTTCCTTTTCAGGATTAGGTTTTAATTAAATGACTAAAAGCTGACCACTGTAAGCACCCCCGTCAGTGTTAAATGCTTTTGCTTAACAGTTTGGTCTGTTAAAAGAAGTTTAAAAATACTGGCCAGATCAGCAGGCAAAATAAACCTGTTATGGAGGACTCGAAAAAAACACTGTTGTGTTAATTCTATTCACAGACTGCAACTTTTTTTTTTTTTTTTTTTCCTTTCTTGCCCATAGTATCACTTTTGCTTACTAGTGCTTATTCCTGAAATGGTTTTCACATATATTACTGTGTAAAGAAGGAAGCTACTATATGAAGTAAAAATGGAAATTGCAACCTGGACAGAACATTCATTTTTCATTATCCTAATTCTTTTCAGTCAGGTAAATGTAGGTCAGTCCTAATTGTTTCAAACTGAATAGATGGATGAAGGCTGGGAAAGGGAGTTGTTCAGGTTACAGCTGAAATTGAAAATCATCCATAGCCAGGCTGTTTTTTTTTTTTTCCCTGCTGTACAAATTTTGAGTACCTTAGATGTTTACTAAAAGTTAATCTGTCATTTAAAAAAAAAATATACATTTTACAAGAATCAGCAGGATATATGTCGGCATTGCCAGATTTTTAGTGAAAGAGTTTACACTTTCTTTGGATTAAAGTGTAACTAAGGGAAAACTCTATTTTCATTTTGGATAGGGTAAGGGGTGATTACAACCCCATCAGTTTGTTTTGTAATCCTTATTACACACTTTTCCCCATGTGTTATCCATTTAAACATGCTTCAACTATGATAAATTTACGGATATGCCAGAAATACAGTACATCTGCCTTCCTTTTTGATGTGACAACAGTGTATTTTCAGCTTGACAATACACTCTGGATTTTGCATCACTGTTTTGTCTTTCTTTTTTTTCCTAAGCTGTTGTGGAACAGCAATATTCAAATCGGATGTTTTTTGGTGTATCATACAAAGGTTGCCTGTTCTGAGAGTTACTTTTGGTATGATCACACTGTTCTCTTTCTTTTAGTATTTAAAACAATGTTTAAAACATTTAAAAATGATTCTCTTTAGCCCTTTTGTGACCAGAGGTCATTAAAGCCTAGATTTCAAGGCCAGAGCAGTGTCAACATCTATTAGTTAACTGTATTATACCCAGACTAATTTGTGTCTCTAAATCAGTTTTATATTTTCATTAAGGACATAGAAGTTTTTTTTGGGGCACAAGGAAGATCAGAACAAGGATGGCGTAGCAATGTATTAAAACAGAATATTTAAAGAACTCTGAGCAAAAATCTATTTACATTTCTTTGTTGCCGA